GTATCATTCATCTCTGTCTGGAATAGTCTTATTTCAGTATAAGGGTTTTGACGTCACATCATCACCTCGTTTTCAGAGGTCCGGAAAAACGGGGATTTCAATAATTTTTTATAAAACGTAGGGAGCTCACAGCAAGAAACGGTTTGCGGTGGTAAGCTAGTTTGGGTGAGTTCTATCGAATTATGAAATGAAATTTTTTTGTGATATAAGCCCATAAGCCGAACCTGGATTTTCACTTCGTCCGATAGGTGAATGAATTCAACGTCCCAATTATAAGCTCCATACCAAATTTTAGAAAAATATACTGGGTAGTTCAATACTTATAGACGAATGAATAATTATTCGAAATCGATAAATCGCCCTGTATCTCCGGTATGAAGACTCTAAGATCTATCAAATATGGTATTTTCAGAACCACCTTGGTGACCCCTATGTACCATTGAAATATTTCCCTTTATCTGTGAAACACCCTGTATACAAATCCATCTAGACACTCTCGGGTGAACTTAAGAAATTGAGGTTATTTCGTGGTTCGTCAGGAATACGCAGACCAGTTGGGCATCCCCTTTTTGGAAACGTCCGCGAAGAACGCTACCAACGTAGAGCAGGCCTTTATGACGATGGCAGCGGAGATTAAGAACCGAGTGGGCCCCCCTTCTTCGGCCGCCGATCAGGGTAACAAGGTTAGGTTCGATCAAAGTCGCCCTGTCGAAACTACCAAGTCGGGATGTTGCTGAAAATTTTATGAATTTTCCAAGGTGAGTGTCGAATTTCATCCTCATTTCTTTCAGGAATCTTTCATTTGCTTCATTTTTGTGTGAAGTGCTGCAGTTTTTGTAGTCAATTTGTCACTTTGTTACGAAATTCATCAATTTGGTCCATCAACACCAGTGGTGGAAAATTTGCTGGTACTAAATTCACAGAGCAGTGTCACCTGACGTCACAACATGGCGTACTAGTCGTTTTTATCAGCTGATCCGATCTCATTCTTTCTGACAATTCTGATCCATTGAGGATTTTATTGAACTAGAAAAATGTGTATATGTTGAACACTGAGAGTTCATTGAGATGTATTAGGTTAGGTATATTAGGTATATTAGAGCCGTGAATCCAGTAATTTCAAATTGACAAATGAACCAACTACTCATTGGTCTCACTCACTTTTCTCACGAGGAAATTATAAATATTTGATTACTTATTTGTATGATGAAATTCTACATGATATTAAAAAAGGCATATCATTTTATTGCTACTAAACTAAAGTAAGAAACTTCAAGGAGTTTATTTGTTTCTCAAATTAATATTTGATATATATATATCTGCTACGAAATTTGAAACAGTACTAAATTGTATTTATATTCAATGACTGAATGAAAAACAAGAAATACATTTTTATTCATCAATTTCTTCTGCCTCGAATTGATGAATAGGCGAGTGGACTAAATTTTTTTTATTTCTTCAATAGAATCATCACTCAAATACCTTTAAATTTCATATTTATCAAGGATTTTTCGTTCGCTTTTAAGGTGCTTAAATCAACAATAATGCCACGGTAATTTTCAAACGGCTTAAAATTGACCGCGAGTTAAAACTGACGTCACGATTTCATAAGTAGGGGCAGACCATAGCACAGTTGCCATGTGTTGAAATACGATTGGGAAATTCAGAAATATTAGTTATTCAATAAATATTCATAAATCCTCAATTTCTGTATTGGTTTCATTCCTAATTAGACATAAAAAATCAATTGTCTGAATAATACGTCGTATGTTGTGGCTTATTGCTTATAATACATTTGTATACTAGAGTAAACGTGACAACACGGTTTCACGAATTGTGGGCGGTGACTTGTCAGTTCTCAGTATTCAGCACATTGTTGCCAAGTCTTCAACATCAACCATGTTCAATTTGAAATGTCAACGTGTGTTATTGGTTGGTGAATTCCAACAGAATGGTTCATCCCCTATGCATCAAAATATGACACAGACTTTCGTCATACCGTTCACTAGACCCTTGCTAATTGGTGCACATACACAAGTCAATGATTGACAAGGTCTCTAACGACACGGGGGAGTAATTGAATGCCAATAATTCATTATAAGTCGACTCGCCCATTGCAGGGTATTCAAATGGTGTTCAAATCTGTGGAATTAATAATAATAACATTTATTGATCCCAAGAAACATACAATGTTTATAGAGGGAAACAACAAAAAAATAAAATAAAATCAAATATGCAATACAATGAAAGATAAAAGTTCAATCAGAATTAATTGATACAAGGGGAGAGTTAAATTGATAAAATATATTTCTTCAGTTCATACTTAAATTTTGTGACGAATCTAATAGATTTTATTCTGTTGGGTAGACTATTATAAATATTTATTCCACAAAAATACAATGATTTTTTCCCGAATTGGGTTTTTATTTTAACAGTTCAAATTTTCACTTTGTCTGGTGTGATGCTCATGGGTATCAGAATTGATATTGAAAGTAAGATTCGAGTGCTTTTTCTTATTTTTAGTGGAATGAATGAAAATGCATACTTTCATTTTGAAGAGAGTCAATATCTAGTAGATCTCTTGGTTTGTATAGTCTAGATGTTGATTCCAGAAATAATAGTTTATAATAGTTATTTTTGTATCTAGAGCGCGAAATGCTATTTTGGTGATCGAGATCTGATTTTTTTAACGAGGCGTTGCCGAGTTAAAAAAATAGTCGAGATGACCAAAGTATTTCGCGCTCGAGTTGCAAACAACATTTTTTCTACAAACGTCAAAAAATATAGTTCTAAGGTAAAAATATGCTTAGCTTGATAAAAAAAATAGTGTTGAACTGGCTTAAAAAGCCTCTCCCTATCCTCCCTAGGTACGCACGATGTTCCACGAACATAATAGGAATATCCTTTCGTGCGCTCCAAGATATAAAACGAAGTTATGGTTGAACATTCAGAAATAAATGATTTCGTGGATGTTTGCTCGATTGAGGACCATTAGGTTGGATTAAAAATATCTCATATATTTTACATAACAATGCGCGAAGTAGGTACTTCGCGCACTGTTTTACTTCGCGCATTGTTATGTACAAGGTATCATGGTAACGTAGGAAACTAAAAAAAAGTGTCACTTCGCAATTTGTTTTCAATGCGCGAACCTTGTCATTTTTTGACGTTTGTAGAAAAATACATTTTATGGCTTTATTTTGAAGAGATTTCAGAGGTTTCAAAACAGATTTTGCTGCAGTACCCCAGATCGATATCAGATACTGCAATTTAGAGTAAATCAAACTGAAATAAATTAATTTCAAGTATTTAAGAGGTATAAAAGACCTCAATTTGAATAATATACCAATAATGGGAGATATTTTTTTCCTGAGCAATTGAATATGCGATGACCAAGATAGAGTCTGGTCTATAGTTAAACCTAAGAGTTTGGAGTTTTTTGTAGGATTTATACAAAAATTCCCGAATTTTAACGGATCTATTTGGTTATCAGGTATAACTCTTTTCTAGATGAACATAAAAAATGATTTATCGAAATTGAATGTCAATTTATGATCTTGTAACCATAATGTTATTGAAGCGAGATCTTGTTCCATTTGGTTTTTTATTTCTTGTATATTTTTTCCGTAATAAATGAGAGTTGTGTCATCGGCAAATAATTTTAAATTCCCTTGTAATTTCAATTTTGAGATAGAATTTATATAAATTAGAAATAAAATAGGTCCGAGAATTGATCCCTGGGGTACACCACAAGATATGTTTCTTATTGAAGAAAATGAATCTCCCATATACACAAACTGCTTTCTATCAACTAGATAATTTTCAAACTCCCTGAAAATATGTTTGTCTTCATCACTGACAACCCTTAGACAAACTGACGTGGTGTCTAAATTTGTTTCCTTTTATTCATTCAATATTTTTTTCAGGATGGCGGCGATCCTTCACATCATCGTTTTTGTACAGTAGCAAATGCTACAATGCAGTTTATATAAAAATATCCGTCTGTATGTATAGTTATTTTAAAAAAATATTATATTTCCGTCTCGCAATGTTTTATTTGAAATTAATAAGGAAATATCATTATAATTTTAATTTCAACTAGGTGAATTTGTAATGAACTATTTATTAACAAAAAGTTCTGTAGAACCCCTAAAGCGGGGATCACATGTATAGGTTATATTTTTCGTCCCTTGGTTTAGCTTAGTATTACCCCAATTCAGTTAGTCAAAACATTTTCAAAATATTAATAATTGGTTATTCTTTCCCACCTTGTAGTGAGTAATGTTTCATTGATTCTTCAAATCATAAATATGAGAAATAAGAACATATGAATGTGATTGTAATTCCTGATGCAAAGGAATCTTGGTTAAAGGTTTTTGTAATTTATCAAAAAATATAATATATTAGCCCAGACTGAGTTTTTGTATTGTTTATTTCAAAAGAAAAAGAAAATAGAAATGATGCACTAGGAAGAGTTTTTGCACTTGGTCATGTTAGCTGTTTAAAATTTGCTTTTAATTCGATAGATAGACTAGAATCCAAAACACTCAAGAATAGTCGATAAATTTTTGATAGCATAATGGAATGATGATATAAATATGAAAGTTCGTTTTTGTAGTTCCATTTGTATGAAAATTATTGTGAACTAATATGAATAAAAATGAGTAGTATTGAGTTATATTTTTTAAGGTGAATACAAAGAAACACACATTCCTACTAATTTTTATTAAAATATATGCTATAAAATGGAACAATATTCAGAAACTTAAACACAGACATAAAAATGTCTTAGAATGGTGAGAGAAGGAAGGCAGTTATTGTATTTTCTCAAATTTTTGTACACCTAAAAATCTTGGAAAAATAAATCATAATAGTAAATTTCTTTATTGTGATGGTCCTACACATAATTTGATTATTGATTAAAACAATAAAAAATAACAAAGTTGTAAATTTGATGAATTTGATATAAATCGAATACAAGTGTATGTAAATTGTTTCTCCTAAAAATGTCTTATCAATAAATCTAATGATATCTGGATTAAATTATTTCGGACAATCTAAAACGAAATTTAACTACAAAAGGGCAGGTACTAGCATAAGAAACTTGATAATGCGTTGGCATAAGCCATTGGCTTCACATCTGGATGGGGCTGAAATAATAAAAACAATATTTGAAAGTGAACATCTTGGAAATCCAGAATTATTGGTACCGTCAACTGGGGTAAGACGGATAAAAATCTGAGTTTTTTCTAGCGCTGCAACCAAAGTACATTCCTTGAGAGTGTGAAAAAAATGTATATGATTCGTATATCCTTCCTCTAGAGCTCAGTAAAAAAATTTAAGAAATCAACTATCATGAACGATTTCTAAAAAAATTCCAAAGTGTGATCCGCTTTACCCCGCATTCTGGCCTGAAGAGGATCATACCTTTCAAATGTCTGAAAAATCACTTCAAGCATGTCAATGGGTGGAGAGGATGAAGAAAATTCATTTTGAAAAGAATTCCGACGAAATAAATAGGAGTATGCAAACATTATGAGATTACCGTAAGCCGTATAGGCATCAAACAATAACCAGTATTTTTCGAATTATCTCAAAAACAAATAATTTTATCGAATTTTTAGAAGACACAAAAAATACTCAAAAATGATTGAACACTTGAAGAAAAATAGATAGGAAGTCATTAGCGCACGTACAAAAAAAATATGGGGGTAAGTGTGTAGTGTGTACTTGACCCCCAGTATTTTGAATATTTGACAGTTATTTTATGTTTTGTTTTCCTCACACGATGTAACTCTTCGTGCTGAAGTAATGTACCAATTTTGTGATTGATATCTTATTAAATACGCGAGTAATTAAAAAAAAACAGTTTTTAATTTCCAACTTTGACACCCTGTATATCGGATATTAAGGGCTAAAATGAAAAATGGTATCTAGAAACTCATATTGTTTCTGTTCAAGGAATATATGGTTAATGGATTGACCTCCTTTTAGCGGACACCCTGTATACAGGGTGGGTCACGGTGGATGGCCTATTAGAAGTATCTGGAGAACGAAAAGACAGAACATGATGAAAATTGGGTTGCTTTGATAATTGGACATTCTCTATTCGTCTAAAATGTTTTCATCGGTACAGTGTTGCCACTTCTATCAGAAACAACTAGCAATTTCGTTATTTTAAATGGAGCATCCTGTATTTTATTGCATTTTTAGATTCTTCCTAAAGAGCTGATTTTATCAATGTATCACACTTGGGGTCCAGCAGGAATGATTACAGAGATATAGGGTGTTCAAAATCGAGATTTTTTCAATTTTGGGATTTTTTTGTGTCGAAACTATTCATTATCGATCAAAATGGTTTACTTGTCCCTATCTTAACTTTCGATTCACTATCTACTGACATTTAATTGGAACAGATACAGGGTGATCAGAATTCTGAATCTTGAAGCACCCTGTATTTTTTCCAATAAAATTCCAGTAGATAGTGAATCAAAAGTTAAGATAGGGACAAGTAAGCCGTTTTGATCAATAATGAATAGTTTCGACACAACAAAATCCTAAAATTGAAAAATCTAGATTTTTAATACCCTATATCTCTGTAATCATTTCTGCTATACCCCAAGTGTGATACATTGATGAAATCAGCTCCTCAGGAAGAATAGAAAAATGCAATAAAACAGGGTGTTCCATTTGAAATAACAAAATTGCTAGTTGTTTCTGATAGAAGTGGCAACACAGTATCGATGAAAACATTTTAGATGAATAGAGAATGTTCAATTATCAAAGCATCCCAATTTTCATAATGTTCTGTCTTATCGTTCTCCAGATACTTCTAATAGGCCATCCACCGTGACCCACCCTGTATAAGAACGTAATACAATGATCTGGGTGGCATTAGCCAGGAAAGTAAATGAATGCGCTTTTTGTATTTATTTGAATAATTATTGTCTGCATTCTCATGCCTGTAGAACTCTCGAACTCTCCAATGGTTTTTTACAGGTCCATACCAAAAATTTTTCAACATGTTTTGTTGTTGATGTTGGTTTCTTCTGAGTAGGGCATTGTGACAGATATTTTACCCGACAATGAGAACATTTCAAGATTTTTCAATGTTTTGAGTTGTTTGGAGAAGATAACTATTTTAACTGGAAAATGTGGTCTGATTTCTTGCAGTTATTTTTACTAATAGAAGTATCAATGATATTTGAGACAATGGTAATAATAACAAACATAAATACACGGCATTTGAAATGAAAAAAAATTAAGTACGGATCTGTAATTATTGTACATTGACCCCTGATCAATAGATTAAATAACGGGACGTAACGCAAGGTTTCTGGAAAATATGATAAAATAAAAATCAAAATATAGGACAATTCTACAAGTAGGTATTCATGGTGTCCTATTTTGCGGAACGTTATTTCATAGTATTGAAAAGGAATATCTCAGATATTTATGAATATGTATAAAGAAATACATTGAGAATTCGCATTCTCTTTGTGATGAATATATCAACTCTTTATCGGTATATTCAACAGAAAACAACTATTTTCCTGGCTATATGCCACGACGAGCATTGAATTATATCTATAAAATCTATATAAATCAGGGGTGAAGTATTCTACAGGAATACGAATGCAGGGAGTAACAAATCAAAGTAAATAAAATGAGTACCACAAAATATTTTCATGATTCAATATATAAAATCAATTTTTTTAACTAGCAAAATCAACGAAAATTTGGGTAGTAAAAGGACAACATGAGTAAGAAATATCAGAAAAATAGACTTGGTGGTACTTTAGATATGAGTAAAATTATGTCGGTTGTAAAGACAGTATTGGTAATACTTATGTTATAGGTATTCATAATCAACTATGTGCCCCTATATGTATTGTTGACGTATTTCAGTTTTCTAATGAAAAACCTATGAAAATGATTATATTGTTACTTACCTCAGCCATATAAGTGGTGAACTTTGGTATCATATCTTTTCCCTTCAAATTTATAAATGCACCTAGATTTCCCATAGTATCACTGAAAATAACAAAATTGTATATTTAAGTGAATTAATTGGTTAATTCAATTATAGTACAATTTTCGTTTCAATTTATTTTGGCGACATAGGTTCTGATTACCTACAGAACAAAATATCCCTCAAATTGTCACAGCTTTCTTGTCACATTCTTGTTGTTTTTGAAGAAAAAAATTCGGACATGTCTCCGATGACGCGTTAATTATTACTCATTTCCTCTCAGAGATAATTTATTGCTGTTGAGGATTAGAGACATAGTAGGTTATGTCAGTGAACTAAACTTGCAGCTTGACAAACATAACTCACATTTACAATAAAAATCTCAGATGACAATGAATCAACTCCTACGTGAATTAGAAATTTATCCAGAGTAAATGGATCAAACCTTCAACTAACCTTACTCTATCCTGAGAGTCAATAATCGAACGCATCCAAAGTTTCTTCAACATCACGTCCGAAAAAAGAAACAGAAATCTCACCAATTGTAGGGCGCCGAGAAGACAGTAAAACACTTGCCATCGTGGAAAATATCTGATTCAAGTTCAGATTTACCAAGTAATATCAAGGAAGTAGCCTTAGATCATAGAGAGACTAGATGCCACATCAATCACATCATACCAATTCATTTTGATGTGTTAAACTTGCGGGTAACGGTTTGGCAGACTAATGCAATGATTGGTTATTTATAAACCGGGCGAAGATTACCAATCCGATCGGTGCCCAACTTGAAAGAAGTTTTGAATTGACTCGGCGGTTACTTGATGGAAATCCACAGTTAGTCCAATAAATGAAGGAGGAAAAAAAGGCAAAGTTAACGTTAATTACGCACTATTTTCATCTTCCGGTTGGAAGTAGCTTTTGGTACCTCATTAAACATGAGACAAAGTTTGACTGGAAAACGCGTGCGATGGCGGAGAAAATGGCCCCAAAAGACCAGGAAAATAGGTTTTCAGCCAATATCTCCTAAAATATGGCAGTTAGAGATTTTCGGCTCAGATAAAAATTGAAGTTCAGTTAATTTTCTACAAAAACGGTCCTTATCATTTTTCTCGAAAATTTGCCCGGTTTCGAGAAAAACGGCACGAAGCGCACCTCGAATAATGAGCTTCTGTTGTATGCCGGAGAGCACAGTCCGTGTATTTACACATCGGCGGGGGGACAAATTATTCAATAACTTGATTCAATGATTCATGTGAAAGAGGAATTCTGCTGCTATCATACCCTGCGTGGCCGCATGGTTTGTAGCAGACGACCCGAGCGCCACGTAGAGCACACACGCGGCGAACGACGGAGGAACGAAAGTAATAAATTATAGCGTGTACATTTAGATATACTGGTTTTTTCCCGGGATATCAAAGGTATGACTTATATACATCGATGGAAAGGTGGAAATTCCCCCGTTACACTAGTTAAGGTGTTATAATGTTAGAAATAAAGAGCACAGAGAAAAAAACCACCGAAAAAAGTGCGTTTTTTTCCTTGACCCCGCTTTTTTTAATTTTATTGAAAAATGGACGACTTCGTCTAAAAAAGTAATTGCACAACCGAAAAGTAGACCTTCTTAGCTTTCAAATGATGTATCATAGAAACCAATCGGATCATGTATAAATTTTTAATTGATGGTTGTTCACAAAATTTCCCCGCGCTCCAAAAACAACAAAAAATTGGGATTCATTGAACAAAGATTGAATGAAAATTAAAAAAAATTAGGGTATACAAATTTCAGGGATGACGAAGGACCTTATGAGGACCCATAATCAAGAAAATTTTGAGTAAATTAGTGCAATACAAAAAAAATAGGAACAAATTCCTGGCGAGGTCAAAATTGACCGGGAGCAGAAAGTTTGACCCATGTTCAGATATGGCCAAAAGAGTCAAGCGTGACTCAATTCACAGGGTATGATAGCAGCAGAATTCCTCTTTCACATGAACTTTGAATCATGAGAAAATATGCATTTTTAACAAAGTTATTGAATAATTTGTCCCCCCGCCGATGTGTAAATACACGGACTGTGCTCTCCGGCATACAACACAGAAGCTCATTATTCGAGGTGCGCTTCGTGCCGTTTTTTCTCGAAACCGGGCAAATTTTCGAGAGAAATGCTAAGGACCGTTTTTGTAGAAAATTAACTTAACTTCAATTTTTATCTGAGCCGAAAATCTCTAACTGCCATATTTTAGGAGATATTGGCTGAAAACCTATTTTCCTGGTCTTATGGGGCCATTTTTTCCGCCATCGCACGCGTTTTCCAGTCAAACTTTGTCTCATGTTCAATGAGGTACCAAAAGCTACTTCCAACCGAAAGATGAAAATAGTGCGTGATTAATGTTAACTTTTTCCCTTTATTTATTGGACTAAGTTTGTTGTACAAGTATTTCACCTCAAGAAGCTTCTGTGTTAGCGAAACATTTCATGTGATTAAGAAATGGAAATATCGTTTGTGAAGTTTTTACATTTTTTATTTAAACAAAGTATTTCGACTGTCATTAAAAAAAAACCGTTTATTGTCCAAACAGGTGAGGCACCCAATTACAGGGCATGCAAGAAAAATACACTCATTTTGGTACATTTTCCACAAAACTTTCATGTTTGATTACTGAAGGATATATTTCTTAGATAATTTTTAAAACAGCCTAATTCAGTCGAATAAAGATCGATTTTGTCGCAAACATTATTGAAATTGCTACACATTGTATGAACAGGAGATTCTGCCAGAGTGTTTGTTCTTGGTGTTCTAAGATAAAAACATAATTCGTGTTTCTGTTGCACATACGCGGTACAAGAAAATTGAGCTGAGACAGAAGATCTGGGCAGTCAACAAGATAATGTGTAAGCTTATGAATGAATACGCACGAGTAATAATTTCTTCGGTCTTCCAGCGAGAGAAGTGAAAATCGATTCAATAATATAGAGTTATCTATACCCTGCTCAGGATATACCCCATCGATTTGGTAAACAAGGTACTTCAAAAATGATCTCTGTACAGATTCGAGGTTTTGTTTATGAGTCGAAAATATAGGGGACCAATTCAATGAACTCCAAGCGAGATCTCATGTAGGAGTTGAATAAATTTATAAAACTATCATCATTTTCAAAATCTTTACAATTTTGGAATATCATATCTAGCATTCTCTTTGCTGACGATATGGATTTGGTGATATGTGGTGTAAATTGAAGTTTAGAATCGAAATGAATACCGAGATCTTTTGTAAGATCATTTTTTTCAAGATTTATACCGTCGACGTTGTAATTAAATTCAATAATGTTTAATTTCAAGGAATATGTCGCTGAGTGACATTTTTTAATGTTGAGTGGTAGATTATTCGCAGTGCATCAAGTAGCTATTTGGTTGATATCGTTTTGAAGCAGTTGACAATCACCTATTGCATCGATACACAAAAATAGTTTCATATCATCAGCAAGAAGAAGCATTTTACTAGATATGTTATGGGTAATATAATTTATATAGAGGGAAAACAGCAATGACGCTAAATTACTCCCCTGCGATGCCCACTAGTAGCAGTGAACGATTGTGATATGTGTCCCCTATATTCAACTATTCAACGAATAAAGAGCGGCCTGTGAGATAAGAATGAAAAAAGTTCAAGAAACCGTCATCGAATCCTAAATTTTTTAGTTTCAAACACTCTGACTGCCATGGCAGTCATTTTTGACCGACAGCTTGATCTCGTGCTGAGCCGATGCATTTTCATTGGTTCAAACGCGTCAGGCCACGCGAAGTTTTCAGAGTAGGGAGCATCTAAGTGATCAGCATATTGCTGCTCAGACATTGTAAAGGATGGAAACAGCCATATTGGTTTGACAAGTTTCGTATTATTTTTTCCCTACGTCGGCAGGTCGATTTCATTACCTATAGAGACAGAAGTTGGTCCCGCTTCAAGGACAACTATGCTTCATATATGAGTAGTAGATATATGGTTAAGAATCACAGCCAAGCACCGTTTTTTATGTCACCGTCGGTCACATATGACTGACAAAGCCTGTAATAGAGAGAGAAAAACAGGTTCCCGGCAGCCAGAGTGTTAAAATCAGTATAGTGTGATCCATTTTGTCGAAGGCCTAAGAGAAATCTGCATATATCGTGTCGTCTTGAGACTGCGCGTCAATGGCATCGCAGGCCATTTGTGTGAAACGCATCAAGTTTGTAATGGTTGATCGTTTAGTTATAAACCCATGTTGGCATGTTGCTCTTATATCATTTTATTGTTCATTTTTGTAAACAAGACACAACATCCAATTATTTTATTTTTTATTCTACGTTTACAATTATTTCACAAACCAGCAACCACACAAACAAAACTATTATCATATGATCTGTCAACATCATTTCTCAGAACAGTAGTATCTGTGACCATAGATTTCCTCTTTGCTGTGACCTGTGCCCAATCAGGATGAATCGCAACCACGCAGGCACTACTTTGCTGTTTCTGATTGGTCCGTAAAAGTCGCCTATTAGTAATTCATGGTCATCTGAATTCTTGCTGGTAGCACACCATATTTATGTTATTTTGGAAAACGTCAAAACGTGATACTAGTAAATGTAAAGTTTTGTTTCTGACAATTTGCTTGGAATGTGACGATGCATTTCTCAAACATTGAGCTGAATGATATGGTTCTTATGTCGGGTCGTTATTGTGCGGGGCCCATGAGACTCCTCGAAGGACACGAAATTGTAGCGATGCAAGGAGGTGGAAGGAAGGGTCTAAAGGATTTTTCAGTAAAAGAACTTCCAACCGTGAGGTGTTAAGTTATACGCTATTCGAGCTTATGTGTAGAAATCTTGGGTGAGTCCATTTTGAAGTTTTTGTATTATCTTTCTGAAATTCAAGACCAAGGTTCACTTCTTCCCCATGTACATTTTCTCGATTGTACATTTTATTTAATATCTACTAATTTTCATGTAGAGTGACAACGTCGCTTCGTTCATCACGGTCGACTGCGGATCGCAAACGATAGTTGTGACAGAAGTAGAAATCTGGGCGGAAAAAGGGTATTTTGCCCCAAATCTATTTTGATCCTAATAATATTTTTAATAGTGCTATTCGGTAGTATACCTCAGGCTTTCTTAGTGTTTAAAATATATGCACTTATTTTAAAATCCGCCTGTATACACAGATATCGAATGCCTTCGTGAATCCCGCGATTAACTACATTATTTATTTATTTATTTATAAATTTGAGGCCACCCAACAGACAGCTGTTTCACTGCCCAATAATAGAGTGGCACATTATAACATACAATGTATCATATAGTACTGTACTGGGTATGTTTTCCATAGTTATAGAATGCTTAAGATAAGTATTTGTGCTTAGTAACTAACAGTACAAGGTTTGACAATATTATAACTATTTGGCAATATATTCTGTATTTAACTAATTAAAAAGGACTAATTGTACAGAACTTGTTTGACTCCATGTTTGAACCTGACAAATGAGAAGCTGAATACATCAAGATCATTGTTTGATTTACATACACTATTGAAAGTTTTGATACGTCTTATTGACGGAGAGTTGAGCAGAAATAACTATCGCCCTTTATCAGTGCTTCCAATACTATCGAAAATAATTGAGAAAATCGTGAACAAGCAACTGCTGGAATATCTTGAAGAAAATAGTATATTGACCAAATCACAGTATGGCTTTCGCAAGTCAAGTGACACCACCAGCGCTGCTGTTGATCTGATATCTGAAGTACAACTGAAAATTGATAAAAACAAAAAGTGTGCTCTTGTTTCACTTGACTTGTGTAAAGCCTTTGACACAGTCAACCATGATATCTTACTGGAAAAAATGAGAATGATCGGTGTTCAGGGGAAGTATGTCACATGGTTTCGTGACTACCTATCAAATAGAAAGCAATTCATCCAATACGGTTCATATTCTAGTGAAAAGAAAAAAATTACCTGTGGTGTACCACAGGGATCGATTTTAGGTCCCACCCTTTTCCTCATTTACATCAACTCTTTAACGAACATAACAATTAGAGGGGAAGTCCGTCTGTATGCAGATGATACAACAATTGTATACTTTGGAGAAACATGTGATGTCATCTCTCAGAACATCGTACAAGACCTCCAGTGCTTGACCAAATGGTTATCTTGCCATAAGTTGACCCTCAATTTGAATAAATCTTCTTTCATGTGGATTGATAAATGTAAGGTGCCTGATTACACCAAAAAAGAAATATCATTTGGAAATAGTACTATGAAATACTCTAGTAAAATTAAATTTCTTGGCCTGATCATTGATGAGAAGCTTTCATGGCATGAGCACATTGAATATGTACGCAAAAAAATTATAGGACCAGTAGGTGTTCTTCGGAGATTAAGTTATACTGTGCCAAAATATCTATTGAGGTCAGTTTACTTCTCCCTAGTTCATTCCCATCTGGAATACCTAATCATCATATGGAGCTCAACTTTTGAGAGTTATATAACACCACTGAAAACACTACAGAACAAAGCCATCAAAAACCTGTATCAATTACCAATGAGATCTACAACATCAAATTTGTTCGGCAAATACAATATTAGATCCCTGGATAGCCTCTATGTGGTGAAAGTTAATGAATTTATTCGTCAAGCACTGAATCAGGTGAGACACACTCAAATGGAGTTCCCTATGAGATATGAAATTCATCCATATGAAACTAGACAATGCAAAGATATATCTTTACCACAAATATGCTCACGTCATGGCCTGAATTCACTGTTATATAAAGGAGCAGCAGAATATAACAAACTCCCCTCCAACATAAAAAAATTGAATGTAAACAAATTTAAAATTGTCATGAAGAGACATGTTCCCTTGTATACCCATTGAAAACAATATTTCATTATATCAGTCATTAACCTACTACTGTGATATCTAACCAAATATTTTATTATCTTAACTATTTCACTGTGATACATCTTAACTTGTTTATTGTGTTATTCTACCATAATTTTTATATTTAGAACTTAACTTTATACATTTCTTATATGTTTACCTGTAGATATAGTGATTGATTATTGACATGCCCACGAAGGGCAGAAGTGTGTGATATCAAATTATTTTTGTACCTATTATTAGAGGTATCCCTATGTAACACTCTGTGTATTTTGGGATGAAATAAACGCTTAAAAAAAAAAAAAAAAAAGAAAGTTTGTTGAGCAATGGGGAACTCTTAAAAGTTGTCTATTTCTCATGTTGTGTTGCGAGCTATTGAAGTAGCCAGCGTACATACATTGTATGTACGCTGAAGTAGCATAATTCTAAGCAGTATGGGCAATCTGTCAGATTATTGAATTAATTACTCAGCATATCTTCTCACATGTCCGCAACTGAAAAAAAACTACTCACCAATAGTTGGGCGCCGAGAAGACGGTGATGCACTTCCCGTCGTGCGCCACCTCGTACCCATCGTCCTTCACCTCGTGGCTGCGCACCACATAATCGAGCCCGTTGAGCTCCAGGAAGGCGCGCGTCACGTCCGGTCCGAACTGGCAGCCGACGCCCCGTTTGCTGGCCGCCCGACCCGGCTGCGGCTGCGGATCCGACCACAGCAGCTCGCACATCGGCCCGTCCTCGGGCGGCTGCCGGTTGCGCTCCAGCTGGCGGATCTCGTCGAGGGTGACGTCGTCGCGCGAGAACAGGCCTCCGTGCATCACCTGGAAACGGGAGGGAAGAAGATTCGGCTATTAACACGTTGACTGCCGCAGTACATAACAATTTTTGGGTCCCTTGGGCCATTTTTTTATTATGATGGATTATGATTGAAACTATTGTGTTTTAATGCTAAGCAATGTGCCATCTGACGGCATATATCACGTGATCATCAAGTGTGATTGTTTGGTAGTAGTATCGAAGGTTATAATGATTGTTCATTCAATTATGTGACTGATTATTATATGATTATTTGTTTATACAACCGAATATGGTAGAAACATATCTTCCAAGTCGTACTGGCAAAATTAATATTTTGACATATCACACTTGGCGTCAAAAACATATCATTATTGTCAAAATGACAACGCGGGAAAATGAAGGTTAAAATCCCAATAGTACTTCTTCAGGAAATATGTGACATATGTGAAAAAAACATATACCGGGTGGCTACGGAAGTATTGCCTACGGAATATCTCAGTTATTGTATGAAGTTGGTTTGTGAAATTTGGAGTCGATATAATGACATAAGAGCTAGAATTTGAGCATATTGACATGTCGAAGTTAACTTCCGGTCTGACCGGAAGTAACATCAACTTTCTTATTTCAAATGGAAACCCTATGTTTTTTTCTTTTCGCTTTATTCAGCATTCAATTCCCTTTCTAATGACATATCACAAGTTGGTATCTAATCAGAAACTAGATCAGATAAAAATTATTATTGAAATTCACCGAGTATGCCGTGGAAGCAAAATGAAAGCCAAAAATTGAAAAGTTGGCTATGGAAACTATACGTCACTTGATAACAGTTGCTACTACTGTGATATTTTATTTTCATTCGTCGGCGTTATAAAAAGCCGCCAAAAAAAATATTGGAAAAATTGGGAAAAAAGCAATATACTCTGTAGGTCCATAACTTGAGTATTTCATTTCAAAAAATGACTTTCTATTATATCATTAGAAAGGAATGGTTATGCTGAATAGTACAGGCAAGAAACAGTTGTATGTTCCTATTTAAGTTATGGTGGGCACTTCGAAGGCACAAATTCATCACTGCATGGGATATTCCCTTCAGATTATTTGACCACGAATGACATTGACCAAAATGCACGAATTCAATACTACCTGAATTGGTCCATCTAGAGAAAGGGCGCAAAAAATAATCCAGGCAGAAGCATGTTGTAGTGAAATACATTTTGTTGTAAATTATTTCAATAAAGCATGTTTTCAGTTATTTAAATTTCATTGTATGTAGTGATTTTTCCATACTATTGAAATGTAATGATATTTCATATTGTTTTAAGGGCTTAAACGCTAGCGAAGCCGCGTTTGAAAGTTAGTAAATAAATATATATGTCTGAAGTAGCACATCACTAACAGTCATTATTGATATGCGAACATCTTTCCTGAGCAGATTCCATGAGTTTGGGAATAATAAAGCGACGAAGGCTTTCATTACCGATAATCTTAATTAATGCAATTTTGAAAGATTCAATATTTCCTCCATTTGGTATTGACCAATCTTCGTTTGAAATGGAAATGATTGAGAGAAATATGAGAATTACAAATTTCAATTAATGTACCACCTCCTTGATTAACCTACAGACAGTATTTTGAAAAAATACAAATTGACACAATAGCACAAACCGATTGCTGTGAGTAATCTACCAAAGATTGTAATTGGAAGTTGAAAAAAGTTTGCATCTGGCGTGAGCAATAATTATCTAATATGAATCTGATTAGGACCAAACTGAGAAGTCACTTAACAAAAGAAAATTTGGAGTCGACATTTGAAATTGAAAATTACCAGCTACCTGCCAGACTAAAAAAAATAATATTATTTGAGTACATTTTTCGAACGTGAATACCTATAACTATAATCTACCTATTCAAATAGAGTGCATTTTTAAAATGAATTAAAATATGTATTTTTACCAAATATTTAATTTTCAAAAAATGCTGAAGAAAATACAAAAATACGATTTTATGGAGAAAAAACATCCGTGACTTGATCAAATTTTGAATCATTTCTACCGACCCTTATTTACCCACATTTCGATTCGCACACAGTCATTCACAGATTCACCCAAACTTCTCTAAGCACACATTTTGATATAACCACAGTATTTGAAAACACAAGAAGAATGCCTTGCTAAATCTGATATGATCTGATGTTGCGGAATATACTTTCTTAGAAGGTTCATTTAGGCCGAGTTAGGTTAGATTGTTAAAAAAACAGTCTCCTTCCTTATGCAGAATAGATACTTGAGTAACCAGTTAAAAAACAAGCTATTATGTGTGACGATCGGATTTTGCTGGACGAACGCACGCAAAAAAATGTTGAATGAAAGAAATCAAAATTATCCCACAACTTCCCTCTATGTCACTGGAAAGAAAAATCACTTGTGCATTTTCTCTTTTGTAATGAAGGTTGTAATCTCTTTACACAAATTAATGATTTGACCTATCAGGATCAGGAACATTACTAACATCACTTGGCACCAGGTATGTACCTGTTGATTTGCAACTTCCACATGAATATATGTAAAATGTGCCCTCCTTCAAGTATAACCACCCTCATATTTTAGGACAGAAAGTTTAATCTCGAAATTTTTCAAGATATACTGCATTATCAGGTATTATATCAATTATTCCTGAATCATATAATGTGTAATGATCGAATTTTGCAGGACAAACGCACGCAAAAAAAATGATGAATGAAAGAAATCGAAATTTCCCCATTACTTCTCTCTATGCCAGTGAAAAGAAAAATCACTTGTGCATTTTCTCTTTTGTGATGAATGTTGTAATCTCTTTACACAAATTAATGATTTGACCTATAAGAATCAGGGACATTACTAACATCACTTGGCACCAGGAATGTCCCTGTTGATTTGCAATTTTGATATGAATATATAATAATATGTATAATGTGCTCAGGTAACCACCCTCATATTTTAGGACACAAAGTTCAATCTCAAAATTTTTCAAGATGTAGTGCATTATCAGGTATTATATCAATTATTCCTGAATCATACATTTTTCATTACCATATAACATATAATGGGGAAGACCACTGAGAGAAGAAATCCGTGCAAACCTCTTTCAATCGACGAATCATGATTTACGTTTGATGTACAATCAATATTATGAGTTAAAGTTGAAGGGAATCGAATCTATATCATTTTGAAATCAGCATATTTCATTCGATATTTCAAACAGCCAAATATGATGGTGGAGTCGTGACGTATTATTCCCGAACTGTGTAGCTATCTCTCTCTGATACCTCGTCATTCTGCAGTGTTGCAGTGTGATTGGTCAGTTCAAGGACAATAGGCGTGTTGGGAATAAGACGTCTCACCAGTCACACCAATGAATTGACAAAATTTCAAATGGCGCAGGAATTGTGTGTTTTGAAATGGGCATATTCTGATTTATTTTTTCCATCGACTTAGCATGAATGACAAAATTCAAAATTAATTCGCTGGTAGTTTTTCAGTATAGGCGACTGAGATTAAGATCGTAGCGCCAGAACGGCGAGTGTCGGTACTACTCTATGGGCCATTGGCGGATTGTTTACATTGTTTGGTGATGGTGTTTATATTCATTTCGTTTTGAGTTTTCAAACGTTCAGCTTTGTTATTTGTCAATTTTCGAACTTTGTATTTTCCAGCGGTCTTTTGTGTTTTGATTGAGGACTATATTATCTCTGTTCAACATTAGATAACTTCCCTACCTCTAGTTGAACTTCATTATACCAACATACATAAGCTGTAAGTTTTTATCATTATTGAACAAGAATTCTCATGAAAACCTGTGTGGGATGTTGATTTCCAATTCGAATATATGGCTGGGATATTCCCTTGATAGCATGATATTTTTAAAAGAAAATCGAGCATATTTTTTGGGAATAAAATGTTCTTTCGAAGTTGAATTTAGGTATACAGTTTCTACTTGACTTTTTACAACATAATCATCAAAACCCTGTTTGATAAAATTCTTTACTGTTTAAAAATTCTACGTTTCATGAGTAAAACTATAATCAGTTTAAAATTTGTTTGTTTTTTTAACATGACCTCAAGAAGTAGGTATCATATTCATAATAGACATACATTTGAAAATAAATGAGTACATTTTCAGTGAAGTGTAAAAAACAATATCTCATTATGTTCAGACACAAGTTATGAATCCATACCTTCCTCCTACCGATCACTTCCTTGTTTCCCAAATTATTAGTTTCAAATACAAATTTAGACTGTCCTGATTTTTGAAATAAGGAATGGAAGCTGTACTCGGGATTTTTCTGCTCAAGATGAACAATCAGGTACACAACAATAATGACTCATGTTTTTAAACGTTTATAGAAGTTCTCAAACAAAATTATAGACAATTAATACACAACTAGTTCTCATACAAAATACACGCAAACTAATGTAAACAAAGCAATCAATGGCCCATACGTTAGTTATATTAGACAACGGTAGAGGGCGTACTCCTTAGCATGAATCGCCAATAGAGTTCACGATAATGTCATTTTAAAAAATCAGTGGTCTCCCCCATTCCAATAAATTAGAAATTTAAATAATTTGTATTGAAAACTAGTAACTTGCACATGTCTCAAATGTCCCCATGGAGGAAATTTTATGAATTTCAAGAATTTATATTTAAAATCAATTCTATATGTAGTCATCTGTAGAACTTGTGTTGCATACAAGCATGTGTATGGGTGAGAAAATTTAAACAAATGAAGAAATAATAAGTGATAGCAAAACTGATAAATTATTTAGAATTGTAACAATTTCCTTTTACAACTTTATCTATTAGTTAATTTTGTCATTCAATATTTTACCCTCATAACTGGGCCATTAATAATCAAATGACTGCAATCATCCTGCAAAAATGAATTCAAGGGTTCAATATCTGAAATACTTGGACTACTGAAGACATAGCATTAAATATAGTACTTATATCCAATAATTTGTTTCTGTGTAAATATCAATCGTTGTAATGAATTCTTACCAATACTCTTTTATTCAAACAGTGAGCTAATGGAAGCCAATTGTAAACTTCAGTAAATAATTCGGCCATTTGAGCAGTATATTTGGCTTTTACTTCTCCATCAAAGCCATACATTTGGTTCATAGTTGCACTCTCATGATTACCTTAAATACAAATAATTTCTTTAGTTCATTATGGCATCTGCAAGGGAGTCTAGTTGAATGAAATTTGTCTTAAAATTAACTCTAACTCACCTCTTGACATGAAGAAATGATTAGGATATAACAGCTTGAACCCAAATAGTGTGAATATACATTCAACTGAAAATGATCCCCTATCTACAAAGTCTCCATTAAACAAATATGGGTTGGTCTCTGAAGGAAGACCATTCAAGTCAAAGATATTCATAAGATCATAGAATTGGCCATGAATATCACCACAAATTGTGAATTTATCATCATCACCAATTGGAATGTCTATTAAGGAGGGCTGTTTCATAAAATATGTCTTTATATCCAACAAAATCTGAAAATTATAAACATTTGTTTAGTGTGGTTTAAATATTTATGGAAAAATGAAATAGTTCAGTACCATATAGGCATATTTCCTATGCAGTTTTCCTTGATTTTCATAGAATTTCATTAAATCTTTCATAAACTGAAGTGTTATCTTATTATCTTCAAGTTTAGGACCAATATATTCATCTTCAATAGCTGAAAATATACCAAAAATAAAAATCTAAAGTCTGCTGGTATTATGCAAAGCAGAAGTAACTCACTCATAGCATCTAAATTAATACTATCTGCTATGCACTTCTTATTGTCATCTACTGCAATTGCTTTTTCAAAGGCCATCTTCTTGACTATTTTGTTACATTCTGAGTATTTCATTCTAGCATCTTTATCATTTGGCCTTACTTTGGTAACCTTAAATATTTCCATGTTCACTGGAGAGTAAAAAACCACATTATTCAACTACTCACATATTCACAATCTTTTAAAGCCTCTTTGAATTTTCCTAAAGACATGTGTGCTGTAGCCCTTCTGTAGTAACCCTTTATATAGGATTTATCTAATTCTATTGATTTTGAAGCATCTGCTAAGGCATACCCAAAACATTCTGTCTTGATATATGCAAAACTTCGGTTAGAATAGTATATAGCCACATTGGGGTTTTTTTCGATTGCTTTAGTATACAGATCTATTGCTGAATTGAAATCTTGTTCTGAAAGAAAAATTTCAAGTTAGAGCTAAGGATGAAAATGTTAGATGAGCAGGAAGAATGTTATGGATGGATAGAAATGATTTACCACATTACAAGATACAAATTGTGGTTTGTATACATTGGTCATGTGGTAATTAAGAGTATAAAGACTTTACTTTTGAATGCTTCATTAGCTTCAGTTTTGAATATTTCTGCTAGTTGACTGTCTTCTGGAGAAACCGGCACATTTTGTGTTTCAGTGGACATTTTCTATATAAATAAATGATTCAAAACTATTAGATTGTAAATTACGAGGCAAATTATTTTCCTTTCTAGATTCTTTTGAGTATAACTACCAAGTAACTACTTATCAAAAATTTAAGAGGTTGGTCAAAGAGGAATCTACTGGGTTGGTTTTCTCTTTTCTGTCAGTGTGAAATCTGTCATTCACAAAAAGTTAGGTTAAAAGTTGGTTCGTGATTTTCAAAAATTGTATGCTTTTGTAAGTGTAGCACATTCGTACACTCCGTGTAATTTACACCGTATTTGAGCATTCTTTCGAAGAGTGTAGTTCATCTTCACCTCTTGGATTACACTCGAATTCTAGAATTGATGATTCGGAATACATCTGTGATTATATTTATAATAAATATACACACATACTGGGAAATCAGTCACATCAAATAACCCATTTTAAAATTCAAATTACACTCTTCCCCTTTATTTCAATTTTGTTCGTTCGTTTGAAAATCGTTGGTGTAGCTGCATGAAATATCAGCTGATTCATAGTGTAGTGCATTTTACACGACACTAAAAAGCAGAACCTATTATGTTAATGTAGTCTAGACAGTCTAGAGCGACGACGGTAGACTCTTTGATTGTTTAGACCGCTAATATGGAGGTGCATCCACCTGTCTTGTTTTCCCCATTCAGTGCCAAGGCTATTTAACTCTATAAGTTAATAGACCTTGATTCAGATAGAAGTTAAAAGACCTTATTTGGTCTATGAGTCGGTGGTGCTATACACAATGAACTTAATGTGACCAAGAGGTCTGTTCGGTGTTTCTGTATGGATTTTATATTGTACACACCATATTTCTACACTACACGTTTCGGCGTGAACGAGTGTAATGAAGTAGAGTGTGGTGAATTGATATCCTGTTCGTTGCTTAGTAGTTCCAGCTCACTAGATTTTTTCTCTATATTTAGCAGACAATGGTATAACCCGTCAGGCAGTCTAGATATTATGCCGTCATTGCTTGTGATTGAGATGTTCTTGTGGTGTAGTCAACTGAAGTAGGATTTCGCGTATTTTAATTGCATGGTAAAAACATTTCGAACTCAAAAAAATGGACAGTAATGATTAGATCATTTACAGTTTTTGAATTTAGATGGTGAATCGATTACAAGTTCTTCTGACGAGGATCAATCAATGAAATCTGTTTTATATCAGTATCAGAGGTATAATCCATCTCAGGATTAGAGTCGTTGACCAATGATTTAATGATATACAAAACGAAGATTGTAGTTTGTGCTCCGAAAACATACCCCTAACCTAACAAGTATCTGCACTACACTTTGGGCATCGCCCTCATATCGCCCTAGATCTCGGATAGCCATTCAAGCAGCTATCATTACTTGCGCGACTCTCTCATCAAATCCGAGTGACACAAGTTGACATACGAACGACACATATAAGTGACAGTTGTCACTGTTGTCAGTTGTCGTGAGATTTTGTGAAAGGTGAGGTTTGGTTTGAGGTTATCTTCAATTTCTTCAAATATTCACTGATCTGATCACTTATGTGACTTATGTAATCTACCTTCTATCTGTGATTCCGTATATTCATCTTGTTGGCTTTTTCGAGTATTAAAAGGTAATTTTGTTGATCTCTAATTCATTTATGTGTTGATTATTTTAATCTGTGCAGGAGCTAATTTGTCAAAATGGCCGATTCTGCTGAGAAAGTCGCCAGGCCCATGAAATACCCATACACCTTTTCTGCTAAGGTAGCTCAGTTCCCGTACAAACACTACTTCACGAACCAGTGGATGTGGAAGTACTATGCCATCGCAGCCCTTTTTTGCATTCCCGTGTTCAAGTCCATTAGCAACTTGGCCAACTCACCCGAAAATGTAGCAAAGTGGGCTGAAATTCGTAGAAAGGAAGCAGCTGAACATCATCACTGAGTAATCATTTCCACTATTTGCAGTCAGTAGTCCTATGATGTGTCTATCTTATATAGCTATTTTAATTGTGTATCCATTATCTCAAAGAAATTTCCTTTAGAAACTTCATGATGTGAAATCATTTAAAAATTGCAAAACTTATATGGAGAACTCAAACAGAACAATAGATTTTTCTCTACACTTCAACCAGTTTTTTTTTTATCAATAACTCTGGAAAACATTGGGTATTTTGGTTATATCGAAGGCAGTGATTTTCATCAAGAAACAGCATTTGAATTTGAGTAGATTTTATTCTACTTTTGGTAACAACTGAGATACTCCTAACAACACAACAACAAAAGTAAATATACATATAAAAAATACAAAAAAAAAATATAGCACAATAATAGTCTTATATATGGTTACAATTTATTTTGAATTGGCATGACTTCTAAAGAATTCTCTTCTATTGAATATTTTGGGAAGTAAGCACCTGGAGAAAATATGATTTATTATTTGAATAAAAATTATTGATGTTATACTCACCCATTACATCACTGCTTTCTTTAAGTTTTTCTGAATTTATTTCATACATGTTTTTGTCATTTCTGAAAACAAAATATCAGAACATGATGATAAAAATGTAATACTCATTTACCTCCTAATCCTTTTCAGTGCACCCAAATTACAAAAACTGCTCAGGCATATTGTCAAAGAATCTAAATTCAAACAATATGGATGTACAAATGCTTCGCTCTCATTGATAGTAACTTCCAATATTCTTTGAGCATTCTGTAAAATCGATTTTTCATCAATAATTGGAGGAAGTTTCTGTAACAAAATTGAAAAATAAGATTCCCTGCAAAAATGACCCTCACTATTTTACCTGTAAAATATTGAATATTACTGAGTAAGATATTGAAAAAGGTTTGATAGCATTGAGCAAAAACTCTTGAAACTTGAGATTTTCTCCAAGTTGGTAATTGTCCATGTTATGGACAGTTCTAATCAAATCAAACCATAGAGCATGATCCAGTGCTTTTCTAAATTCAGAAGTTCCTTCTTCAGAATAAGTCACAAATTCCTTGGAAAATATGGATCTTACTGAATGGAATTTTTCAAATAATTTATCTGAAAAAATATTTATATAAGTAGTATATTATTATGATAATCAATTTTTTTATGGAATTTTTATGACCAAAGAAATAATTAAATGATAAGGAAGCATCAATTTTGGAGGTGTTTTCTATAATTTTCAAAAACTCCTACTATTTCAGGGTACTCATTACAAAAACTCAAACAGTGGCATTTTACTTCTTCATTTTGAAATTCAGGGCGTCTCCCTGAAGGGGAAAAATTTATACCAAAGTACATTTTCCATAGCTTCATCAAAGGGACAGATTGAATATTTTCAGTTATTTTGTTTTCTACCATATTTTCTATATATGTTAAAAAATAAAAAGTTATAAAGAAAAAGTTAGTTCTGACCACATTAATAAAACGTTGATTCACCTTCATTCAAACAGTCTTCTTTACTCAAAATAATACAAATCACAGCCATATCAACCAAGTATTGCAGAGCTGGATTGACATAAATTTGTAGCATTACAAATGGCACAGAATAAGACATGGTGGCATCAGACAAGGCATGCCCCTTCAATTTCACAGGGTTCAAACCATCCAATGTAACTTTATCTGAAATCAAACAGACCTTATGCTTCATATTGAGCCCCACCAAATTATTGTGCACCAAGAAGCTACTTGTCACGTCTTTTTCGGTATCTTTGGTGGCAACCGGTGCGCCCAAATGAGCCAAGATCGATTTGATCCAGTCCACCTCATCACACAACTGTGCCATTGACAGCAGAGGTCTTTGGCCGGCGAAATTATCATTAAGAACGAGTGCCATCAGATTGAAAGTCATCAGTACAATGCTGCGCTGTTGCCTATGCAGAATCTCATCTGCAAGGGGGGGCAGCAATTTTTTTTCATCTTCTGTTATTTCTTGGTTATGAACGGAGCCCAAACTGTGCACGCTCCTATCGAGCTTGTCTCCGAAAAATCGTTTTGCAGATATGGGCTCGTCCAGGTGGATGTAGATGTCTCCGTATTTTTCTTTAATGAGTTTCAGTGACTTGAACAGACCCTGAAAGAAAAAACGATTATCAGTTGCTGTTGATCGTAGTCGATCGAAGTACTAACGGAAGTGGTCTCTTTTGGTTTCGGAACACCCAGTAACTCATATGCAAACAAACTCTCTTCCAGTATTCTGTCGTAGCTTATCCCAATGGGAACGAATAAAATATCAGGTACTTGTGCTAGGAACAATGACTTGAGAATCATGTTCAGGAGACCTTAAAAGAAACACATAATAGTACCAAAGGTGAACAAATTGGCGTGATCTGGAGTATCAATAGATATCGTGGATTAAAAATGTAATGTATATGCATATTATTACACGATCAAATAGAGAAACTAAATCTCAATAGACCAACGAAAACTGCAACATGATAGCTTCTCGCTAACGGAAGATATTGATTGACGATCAAAGTTGGAAAAAGGATTGATGACAGCCGTTCTTAGTTGTTCACTCGGTACTTCGTTAATATGAGTATACCCGTTACCACCGATACAACAAGGCCAGCAGACTCTGACGTAAACAGCTCGTGACGTCACCAAGAGAGGCCAGTGTTTTATTTTATCGCTTGTCGACTAACGCGTCAGTTCGTGTTAATTCATTGGTGATTCACGTATGTTTTTGAAACGGTCCAGAATTCTTTTGTTGTTTATTCATCAAAATAATTGGCGGAAAAATTACTGTTTGGTGAAATATTTTGTGTTGTGATCGGCGAAATAACAATGCGTTTCAATTGTTGTGTTCCCTTTTGTCGGGGGAATTATGTGGGTGGTTCAAAAGTTCATGCTTTTAGTTTTCCGTTGGACGAGGAGCTATCGAAAATGTGGGTATATGCAATTCACCGCGAGAATTTTACTCCATCTAAGTTCAGTAGTAAACAGAGCTTAATTTATAATGATGAATTAATAATAGAAGACAATTACTCTCTCATAAAAAGTATAAGTAGAGGAAAAAATTATAGTCAACAAAATTATCTCTGAATTCGAGGAAATTTTCTTGAATGTTCATAATAAACGGGCATTTTTAATTCTCATTCTCAAATTTCTTTCTGAAAACGGTCATTTGCCTCGTGGCAATGAAAGCAGAATTCATTCCAATGATCAAATTGCAACTATCATATTAACATGAACTACAAACACTCTACTTGAAAAGGTAAAACTGCATTTATCATGATATTTATCATGAAGATATTTGACTAAAAAGTTCCAAATTTCATCTTCTTTTTCACCTGTCTTCTGGATGGCATTTAGAACAAATTTCCCTTCTTTTTTCATCATATTGGACAATTTATATATAATTCAACTATAAATATGATTTTCTTGAGATTAATCCATATTTAGTGAAAAGAAGGAAGAATATCATTCAAAATAATGGCGTGTGTAATGTCATTCGAAAGCAATCTATTGATTAAATGGTCGTCATCTGGAATGCTTGTTCACTAAATATGAAAAACTCGCCATAAAAATCATATTTCCTGTTGAATTTTCTATATAAAAATGTGCCATCGAAGTACATCATGAGTATATAAAGTGTCCAATGACAAAATAAGAGCAAGTAGCTTCAAATGCCCCCAACACAAGGGGAGAAAGAAGGAGAAATTTCGAACTTTTTCTTGAAATATCTCAATAAATAGTGGTTTGTTCACATTTTCATTATAAAATTCGGTTTATCAGACAAAAATACGTGAGTACCGAAAAAAATTTCGAGGTTGATTGGTCACATGTGGGTCAATTCGGCTTCTGTATTGGTAGAGCAAGTCCGATAATTTTTAGTAAACAAAAAATATCGGTGTAACACAGGAGAAACCGTGAAAATGTTGGATTCTGGTTGGTTCTCAAGAACAAGAGTAGAATAATCAACAATAAAATTTTCTGAGACCTTAATAAGAAATGCATTGACAAAAAATGTTTTTCATATGGCACCATCATTTTTAGAGGTCACGGTGCCTATATTAGGTTTCAATAGCATATCAAATCTCATTTATTTCAACAGATAAAAAATAATATTATAACGATTCGATAAACAATCAAGGACCTTTGATTCAAGCCCAAAGATAAAATCTGGTTCAACCACCTTATTTATTCTGAATGTTCTGATTGGTCCTGTACACTTCTTCAGTAATTCAAAATCGACCTTGCATTATTTTTAACTTAGTTTGATGGCGGTAATATTAACTACAGTAATAATGCGGTATGTATTAATATTGATGACAGAGGCATAATTAACATGTATATTCAACTCAATATTGAAATATTCCCGAATTAATATTCAGATTATAGCCCAGGAAACATGTGTATGTTTTAGAGCTGATACAGGAAAAACCCACAATCTGAAGAAACACATTAAACGCAAAACAATAAAGTAGGCCGAACACAAAATTATATAGAAATCAATCATTGTGTACTTAACTAGTTTCGGATCCGCGATCATCAGATCAAATACTCAATAAAGTGCCTGTAATGAAATCAAACTCTTTCAAGTTTTCATCTATAGAAATGAATGAGATATGTTATATTTTGAAAAATATAAACTCATATATTTTAATCATTACCAAATTTTGGCGATAGAGACTTGTTACTCCTACTTCTAGTGCCTTCGATGAAAAACTCGAGTGGCAAGTCTCCATTTCTGACTATCTGTGACACGTATTCCCTGAAAGTCTCCCAATATAGACTGTCGTTGTTGTATGATCTCCTCATAAAAAATGCCCCTGTGTCTCTCAGCAGGCTTCCCATACCCCACATACCATAAAAATCTAAAATAGATAGGGACCGGTAATGATCACTGACATAAATACTATCTAGACCGCTATATGTCATGCCCAGCAACCCGAAAATCTCGTCCAAATTATTCGCCTGCTGAACGCGCGTATAGGAACCCCAAACTGTCATGACATCGAGTCATGTCACGGTGTTATGTAACGGCTATATTCCGAATTCAACTGGTCATTACTGTCAGCAAATCTACTGACTTCGCAGATAATCTGTGTTCCGAAATATAAAATCAAATATAGTGCCACACTACCTTTTGATAAATAGTCAGCAATTTCAGCAGAATGTTGAGTCGAAATATTTGGAATGGTATGTCCGCTCACAAGTATCGGTCATTTTCAGTGAATACTTTTGAATTCAGAATGAAAAATCAGCAGATTCAGTACTGTCAGTTGAATTCGGAATATATCCAACATAAGTAAGAATGGGTAAGATATATGACAGATCCTGAATGCGCACGCTCCATGTCCATGAAACAAAGTTCAATCTCGTAAATGAATTAGCTATGATCTTTTATGGCATTAGCGGTCTAGTTAGTAATTTATGTTGGTGGTAATTGTTATCGATGCTGACAAAAAATATTTTACCGACCCATTCCAGCTGCTATTGCAGGAATCTCTATATCATAGGTGAAATTGAGATATGACATCAAAATGAAGTCTCCATAGCTTCTGTGACTGGGTACAAAGACTACAGGGCATTTTCCCATAGCAGATTTGATCTAGAGAAAAGTGGTCTTATTATCAATACACAAACCTTCTCGATTTCAACAAAATAATTAAAAATGATGATAAACAATAATGTAGTTTAATAACATATCAATGTGTTGTGTATCCATTTAATAACTTTGTACATGGTTACCCAACGGTCATTATGATTTTTCAATGATTGTTCTTCATTTTTTAGTTTTGCTTGGAACTCTTTATATTTTCAGTGTTGAAAGCAGGAGCAGATACCTACATAATAGAAATATTCTTCTGCTTTTTTTATATTGATTGGCTTTAGAATCATAGGGATCCATACATGAATAAATATTGATGAATCATTAAAAAACTATAATACTCAGTGGAGACAAATTCTTACTTTTTCTTTAGATGAAAGTAAGTACTTAGTTGTTACATTTAAAATCTGAATAGTCCTGACCTCGGTTCTGACCAAGTATTGTTTCAGTCTGATTTTAAATCTTCTTGCATCACCATGAGTTTTATATACAATTGTTTCATTGTGAAATACTGATTGTTTATCAATGTTTGACTTGAATGTATTTGCTATGAAGTAATTAAATTGTAACTATTTGGACTGTATTGACTTTATTAAAAGCTAAGTTTGATATTTTCGATTTCTTTCTGGCAAAATGAATAAAAAACATTTTCTAATAAAAGATATTCTAGAAAAATCAATATTCCACCACCTCCATTAACCTACAGAGACAGTATTCAACTTTTTTTCTGTAGACAATAATAATGATGATAAGGAGTAAGTAGTTTATAATGAATGAACTCATAAAAATCTCAGAGGTACTATGTATAGAGTGTCCCAAATTGCTTGATTTTGTCAGTTTTGTCTATTTCCAGAACAGCTAAAGAAAAACGGTCATAGGAGTTGAAATTCGCATTTAACGGATATTTTTCCAAACAGTAAAAACTTTCAACAGGCACTCTTGTTATTTCAAATGGAAATCATATTGAGATATTTTTTTCCAAAGAGTAAATTTTGTGACATTTTAGACGAGCAAGAATTTTTCTGTTGAATCCGAGGTTGAATCAATAATTATATGTAGATCAAGTTATAAAAAACTAGAAATTATAACTGATTTTAGTCAAAGATAAAAGTAAAATCGACAGCTATTGTTTTCCATTTCACTTATCTGATATGTTATCATCAAGTAGATCATGAATATCAATAATATTCATCAACAATCAATTTGAAGAAGATGATAGAATGTAAGACAATAGTGACTTGGACTTTAGGACTGACTCAATGTCCTCTACCTTCCACCTCCCTCATATACCACAAAAATGATCACGGTAACCCAGCGAGCACAAACATCCCTGGGATGTTTTGGGATGTTTTGAAAATGTTGGCATGAAGATGTTATTTTGAGACGTAATATGCACTGACCAAAGAGGTCTTTGAAGGATATTGAAGTATTGTTTTTGTTCTTCTGTGACATTTCTTTGTTTGCCTACTGCGAGGTATCCCTGGGATGTTTTGGGATGTTTTAGAAATGTAGGCATGAGGATGTTTTTTTGAGGCGTAATGAGCACTTCCCAAAGAAGTCTTAGAACTCTTAGAAGGATATTGAAAGTATTGTTTTTGTTCTTTTGTGCCCTTTCTTTGTTTGCCCCCCCACAACGTCTCATGCTTACGTCACAATACGATGAATTCTGATTTGTTTTCGATTTTGTTCTTCTTGTTCGCAATTAGCATTCGCGTTTGCAGCGTGTCACGCTTACATCACGCTGCTAACGAACAGAAAGGAATTTGGTGAAATTTATTGTGTTAGAAGGCTTATTTAGTTTGTAATAATGACCATCAGATGCAAGATGTGTTGTTCGGTGCCTCAGTGTAATCAATATATAAAAGTACGAATTTATCAATACACCGCTTCTCCGCAGTTGCAAAATTATGCATTGTGGAGAACATTTCAAAAATTGGGAAACCTATTTCCAATTATATGTCTGTGTGTAGTAAGCACTACTCAGAAACCGATTAAGAAGGTAATTTCATATCAAGAAAATATTTTTATGTTCAATCTATTTTTAATGAATTTTTTCATTCAAGGGAAATGGTAATGCAAAAGTTCATTTTGACAAAAGGCATCAGAAAAGTACCTCTAAAATGGTTTTTTACAGCGATTTAATGTGCGCAAAACGCGTTGAAAATGTTCTGTTGTGTCCATGAAAATGATTTAAAAAGAACTAGGGAGAAGGTAGTTTTGTGACATATCAGGACATCTCGATAATTGCCGCCTGCGGCGGACATTGGCTGTTCTATAATAGTTCTATACATGTGTGAACAGAACATCGCAGTGGAGGTTCAATGTCTCGAAATCTCGTACTTTTAACATCTCTGAGATGTTTTTGTGCTCGCTGGGAAGCCCTGATTGACCCTCAAATAGGCCTAATTTCATCACCACAGGGTGTTTCATAGTTATCATGCAATACTTCAGCAGTAGATTCCATGATCAAAAATAAGAAAATCGTTCCATACCCATGGGTTTAAAAATGTTACACATGGGGGCTCGATCTCCATCATTATCATTATTATTATTATTATGCATTTGATTTTTTTTTACATATTATGACAAAGAATTTAACGTTTTATTTCCCCTAAAAAATGTCGAAATGAAAAGGGGTCAATTTTTTATATCATATTAGGGATTTTTTTACAAGAAAACTAACCTCATAATATTATTCTTCATGGTTTCAAACCCCCATAATATGTGAATTTTCATGTTATTTCTATAAAATGATTTTAATTGCACTGTCATAAGGGTCCAAATTTGGTATGAATCACACACACATTTAATAGCTGAGATATAGAGGGGGGGCGTTTAAAGTGAGACATGCTGTATATTCTGTATAGCATAGCCCATTCTCAAAATTTTATATTGCTGTCTTCAACCATGGGACACAATCAACGGGAAGCATTTTTCAACACATGTTCATGGGAATTTTTTCATTTTTAGTTCTGGAATTTACTGCCAGAGTAATGCATGCACTTCATGAGACACCCTATATATTAGTTATCAAGATCCTATTGGCAAGGATCAAATTTGGGACATGCTGTATATGAAGGTGTTCATTTTGGAATTCTGACAACATTAATCATAAATCTATATCTAATGGAAGACTTATGCTGATAAATAAGTACATATATCATTATCTTTCCTAGAAGGAAATGGGCACAGTCTCATTATTTATTTTATAATTAGTTCTCAAATAAACAGAGAAAATAACTAGAAAACAATTTCTTATTCTATAGGCAGAATTATTCAAAGAATATTGCAATGAATCATTATCATTTCAAGAATAATACCATTGTGTATCTGGTAGTAAAACCAATAAATTTCTAGACGATAATGTGAAGGTCAACAAGCATGAAGTCTGGGAATGTGCTTTTACTAATAGGTACACGTTCTAATTTTTTTCTGAAATTGCTATCAACATTTTATTTACTGTCTAAAATGTATGTAAAAATCCGGTAGGGACTGATGTTGACGGTCTAGACTCTAGAGTTAGACATGAACAAGATGATCAAAAATACTAGTGAGAGATTTCAGAAAAATGCATTTTTTTTCAAACCAATATTGGATTGACTATAGACATAGACTATAGAGATATTTGGGGAACGGCTAGTTTATCAATCATAAAGCCACTTAAAATCCTTCAGAATAAAGTTGTCAAATGTATACAGTGTGACCCATTTAAGATGGAAGCACCCTTATAAAACTTACATTTTTCAACCGATTGGAATGATTTTTTTTTGTTAGGTAGATATTCAAAAAGTCTATTAGGACACCAAATATCATGAATAAATCTCCATTTCCAGGGCCAACTAATCTGATTTTTCAAGGTCAAAAATCTAAAAAAATTACTAGCGATTTTTTTAGAAAAAATCTGACTACACCACTGGATTTGTGACATTTTCAAATGGGTAACATGTAAATTACGTTGAAATGCGTCAATCAATAAAAAAGTTATAAAGGAATGAAATTTGAAAAATATGCCGTTTAATCAACCCATCAATTTTTATTACTGAACAGATTTCGATGAAACTGTGATCAGTAATATTTCAAGACATCCTGAATCCAGTGGAGTATACAGAATTTTCATAAAATTCCTGAACATGAATTGGTGGGTTGATTAAACGGCATATTTTGCAAATTTCATTCCTTTATAACTTTTTTATTGATTGACCATTTGAAAATGTCACAAATCCAGTGGTGTAGTCAGATTTTTTCTAAAAAAATCGCTAGTAATTTTTTTAGATTTTTGACCTTGAAAAATCAGATTAGTTGGCCCTGGAAATGGAGATTTATTCATGATATTTGGTGTCCTAATAGACTTTTTGAATATCTACCTAACATAAAAAAAATCATTCCAATCGGTTGAAAAATGTAAGTTTTATAAGGGTGTTTCCATCTTAAATGGGTCACACTGTATATAAATTGGATTATTTGGAACCAACAAGAAACCTTTATAAACCAAATGAAATATTAGATCTTCAATCAATATATAAATTCAAGATATTAATATTTGTTCATTCAGTCAAACACAATTATAAACATTCCAATTTGAATTTTAAAATTAATGCTAATATACATTCATATTCAACTAGACAGACATGTTTTCCCTCATTAAAATCAAATCTGAATTTGGCAAGAGATCAATATATTACAATGGATTATCACTTTACAATGAATTGCCAACAAGACTTAAAAAAAATATCAATACCAAAAAATTCAAGAAAGAACTCAAAAAATATTTATTCCTCTGAATTTTGTCATGTCATCCATATTGAGATCATATAACATATCAATTATTTTAATCATTCATTCACTCAAACAAGGATCTGCTCAAACTATGAGAATTACTAGAATAATTATTATATACCTATAAATACTATATTTTGAATGTAATGTAATACTGTAATACATTATGGTTTACTTTTTTAATGTTCCCTGTTGTAAACATATATGTCAATTGTTTCTTGGGAATAATAAAGATGATGATGATTTTTGGTTTCCTGCCCAATTAAATGGCTACCCAAATATTAGAGGTCTTGATGTTGTTTATGATATGATTCAATATAATGAACAGGAAGAAATATTTTGTGGAAACTCACCTGTTCCAGTTTGGCTGGATTGACATAAATACCTGACAGGACCTTGAGACAGATTTTTGTTAATACTAAACCCAACCATCTTATCAGTTTCAGTTTTCTATCATAGCCTATTTCATCCAATATTTTTTTCACTTGGTTTTCCAATTGAGATTTTGGTATATTTTGCTTTGTACTCAACTGCAAGAATTTTTCAAAAATTTTAAAAACAAATAATATACTCACAAGATTTATTAGCAATAATGTTTAGTGTTCTCTACCCCTGAATTTCATGGTCCAATATTGCATGTTTTTATTGAAATATATGGGTTTCTCTGGAAGTGTTTATTCAAATAAGCTCAGATTTCTTGTGAAATGATTCAGTGAGTATTTGCAGAATAATATCATTCCCACATAAACCCAATCCATCTAGAAAAATATCATACCTTCTTTTGTTTTTCATATACCTAAGTAATTTTTCTTGTCAATTTATAGACCAGGAAAGGTGGAAATAAGATATTGCATTTGATGAAGACCCTATCCTCTTGAAAAATTCAAATATATATTTTGAATTCAACAGAATTCAATTATACCAATTTTGAATAGATTATGACAAACAGCTATATTGATTGATTGTCTTTATTACCTTACCCCAGAAACATATCTGTTCATAGGATACATGAATTCATATAAAAAAATACTAATGATAATAAAAGAAAGTTATATGTGAAAAAATATGAGAGAGGATGATGAGACGTCATGTTGGAAGCATTTTGGCAATATCTTCAATTCAGTTGAAATATATTTGTTTGCATATTCCCAACAATCCCATATCTACTTATGCAAATTTGTGTTCCTGATGATCACTCAAAGCATTCTCAAAGAGACATTTTAGAACAATATGATGTGTACATTATATTTTCAATACTCTGATTTGACTATAAACCAGTATTCTCGCCAGCATTACAGACAGGAAATTATCTTCTTATTGTAACAGGAGAGATGTATATTTATAACTTTAATTGATATGTTCTTGAAAATCTTTGTTGGGAAACAGTGTGATGTGCTTGTAGAGTCTAAATATATTTAGCTCTATCATTGTGATAAAAATAAATAATAAATTATGTTTACTTCAGTTAATAATTCCTGTATCCTGGGACAATGTAACACTGCTTTCTTGTGTGAGTTTGGTGTAGGTTTGCTTGAACCTTGGTCAAAAGCAACTTGAGGTGCCCATGGTTTAGATATCCACAAAAAATTACTAGATTCTTGTTTTCTAAATTCCAGAAGATCCTCATGTTCCTCTGAATCGATATTCATAATTTCTCCTTTCTCTTTACTGTTTCAATTTCCAATAGTTTTTATCAGATGTGGTCATATCGGGTCATATCCAAATCACACTACTACACATAATACCCGGGGATACTGAACTTCATACATAAGCGAACAGGTTATTTTATATATCATCAAATATCAAAATAAATACTGATAAAATATTAACAACCTGATAAATATTTGAAATTATGAAATTCGTATTACCTCCAGAAACTCCCCACTATTGTAAATATTGTGAAAATTGAAAATCATAAATAAACACAGAACAAACATAATGACATTAATGACAGAAGACAGTAAAGGCCCTTTCTTTTGTACGAAAAGTGTAGCAAATTCGTACACTTCGTGTAATTTACACCATCTTTGAGCATTCTTTTGAGAAGTGCATTTTACACTGGTGTAGTTCATCTTCACCTTGGTCTTGGGTTGTCTTGGGCAGGTCAATGGCGGCTAAATATCTAGACTGTCCAATGGAGTATAACCCACCAGACAGTCTAGATATCTAGCCGTCATTGGGCAGGTGTGAATCACACTCAAATTCAAGAGTGGATAAAATCGCGTGGAATGACCCCTAAAAATTCAATTTGCACTTTTCCTCTTCAATTCAATCTTCTTCGTTCGTTTGAAAGTCGGTGGTGTAGCTGCACAAAATATCAGCTGATTCATAGTGCAGGGCATCTTACACGACACTGAAAAGCAGACGAAAGAACCCAATCTACACTCGTGTGGAATGCACTTTTCAAAAGAATGCTCAAATGCGGTGTAAATTACACGAAGTGTACGAATGTCCTACACTTTTCGTACAAAAGAAAGGGCCTCTTGCATATTTTCACAAAAACGCGGGAAACATTTATTTCAGGTTATTTAGTTCTTAGTTGTCAGTTTAAGAAATTGTAGTCAACCACTCCACTCAAACCCCCAAACCCCCTGTTGTTGTAAAATGTAAATGGTTGTTGTCTCGTCACCAAGGTCCGAGCATCCTTGTCCGAGCCAAGGTCTCTCAAGGGGTGGTGTGGTGCAGTTTTCCATGCTTGGTTTTTAAAGCTTTCAGTAGTTTACAACTCTGCTTAGTGTTTACAGCATTTCAAGAGTTTTTTCACAGTCTCACAAATAAGTGGAATAAAGTGTATTTTTCTAGGTTTTATTAATATCTAGAATGGAAACAAAATTACAGAATGAATTATCGGAATCAATGAAAGAAATAGGAAAGGCACATAAAAAACCATTTCCAGAAAATGAAAATTGTGAACAGGACAAACCAGTGACAAATGTAGATACATTATGTGATGATTTTACAGTGCCTTCACTTCAAGATGATCCTACTAATATGAGAAAAACAAGCAAAACTTCCAAAGATGATGATGATAATAAAGCATCATCGCATAAATTAGAAATTGAAGAAGGCATCACAGCTGCCTCAAACAATCATTCCCATGATATTGAAACTAATGATGATGATATGAAAATTGAAAAGTTCAGGAAAAAACATATTGCTATAATGGATAGTGATTCTGAAGAGGAAATGGTTTCAACTTCACTTGCAGAAGATATTTCAGTACCTATTATCTCTGAACAAGCTGAAAACCACCCCACAGTATCACCAAATGAAGTAGGAACTAAAGATAGTGAAATCAACAACACTTGTATTATCATCAAACAATCCGAAAATACTCTATCTGATAGTGATAATTTCAAAGTTGATAAGATGAAAAGGAAGCGTATTGCAATAGTGGATAGTGAATCTGAAGATGAATTAGGCTCATACCCATCTGTGAATGATATTTCACCACCTTCTGATGATGAACAACTGAATCAAAACAAGTTCATTGATACAGATTCTGAAGATGATAGTTCAACAGTTTTACCAAATGTAGATGTAGAAAGTTTTAATAAAAACAAGAAAAAACATAAATTAATAGTTGATAGTGATTCTGAATATGATGATATTACTACTCATAACAAAAGTTTTGCTGATGAAACTGAAAATGACACTGCTCCCATTTATACAACTGATTATAAGGGCAAGTTGATAGTTGAAAATCCCAAAACAAAGGTTAGTCAGATTTCTTATGAATCCTATGAATTTATTTTAAGCACATAAGTGATGGATGATATTTTTTGTAGAAATCATTGTGGACAGATTTATGTGACTCTGAAAGCTCTGATGATGAGGTGAATCAGGAACCTGAAAACCCTACTGATAATGGTAATGTGCCTTTTTTGGAAGAAGAAATACTTGAACCAACACCTTACAAGAAAAAGCACAAACCAAAAGGTGGAGATTCAGAGAAAAAGGTGAAGCTTAGTTCTAGTAAAAATCACAATACTTATTTATCATTGTCTTTTCATTTCCTGACATTTCTAGATGACTAGTAAAGAAGCTGCCAAATTGAGGAAAGAAATTCAGTCTGAATCCCAACGTATGGTACGTGAAATGGATGTATCCCTTCCATATCACAGACCTAAACAATTCACATTGAAGGAGTTTCTGTCAAGAAGACCAAAGCTTGCATCTACTGTTCCAACTGCTAGTAAAATGCCTCCATCTATAGCAATGAAGATGTCTAGAGATCAACTAAAAGACATTCTGTAAGTGACATTAAGATTTCTAACATATATAATATAACAATGAAAAATATTTTCTTGCAAAATTTGAGTTTGGTCTATTCCATGGATTATTCCATGATCATTATAGTGAAGGAGAAGTATAATTTCATATCACATATGTAATCCATTTTCAAAAATGAATTTTTGGTATGTCACACTTTGGAGTCACCTTAGGAGTCACCCTGTACCTACAACTTATGAAAAAGACCATGAAAAAGACTCATTCCTACCTATGTATCTTTGTTGTTTCTGTAAATCATACACCTACTTAAATATTGTGATATATTTATTCTAATGAATACTAGGAAGAAACTTGAAGAAAGAAAAAAAGAGGTTCAGGAATTTTATAAATCTGAAAGTGAACCAGAAGATAATGATGATGACAAAGATGATACAGATTATGTTCCTCCAAATGATACAACATATGAAAATGTTTCACATAATGAAAATACAGTGCCAGATCTTGTTGATGATGCCTCTAAAGCTACCTCAAAACCCACTCAAGATACTGAAATGGAGGAAAAAGTTGAAGATTCAGGAATTGATAGCCAGGAAATTGTTGAAGATAGTCCAATTGACCATGGTGAATCTGAAAATAATCAGGAAAAATCAAAAGAACAAGAATATAAGGAAGTGGGGAGTACTGACACTATCAATATTGAAGAGAAGGAATCTGAGCAAGAAGAGATAATTTCTGAATGTAGAGGTGAAAAAAATGGAGTTGATCTGGAAAATCAGCACTCCATGGAATATGAATTCAATTTGGATGATGTTGAAGAAAATTCAGAAAGAATACTCAAATCCATAGAAAATATTGATCAAACTGAAAAACTCCAGGAAACAGAAACTGAAAATCTTGAAGAATCACCTAATAAGACAGAGGAGAGACACCAGCCAGATGAAAACCAATGTTTTGAAGAACTTACCAACATTAACAACCCACTGAATACAAAGAAGCCATTTGATTACTCAGAGTTAGATGAAGAAATAGAAAATTTCGGCAACACTGAAGATATAAAAGTAGTTGAGAAACCCAACTTATCCAAATTAGAACTGATCAAAGAAAGGCTAGCCAATATCAAACCAAGACTCAGTGGAGATCCAGATCATGTCATTGACTTAGACACAAGCATAACCCGACCCAACCAGGTAAGAGAGCTCATTGAGAGATTCCTACAACACAACACCAAGCATCACCACAAACACAGGGTGAAAGTCAACGTTGTTAGTGTAGAAAGTGGGCAGATCCATAAAGAAACTCTAGCCATGAATGTAGATGATGAAGATGATCCTACAGAAAAAGAAGCAAAGCCTGGGGCAATGCTAATGAAGCTTAAAAGTGAGCTTCAAGATCAGATAAAACAGCATAGATCCGAAATTTGGAAGAAAAAGGCTGTTTCAAATGACATACAGGAAAAAGATCCATATGAAGGGGAGAAGTCAGAATGTGGTGGTGATGATGATGGTATTCTAGATGAGGATGAAGAAGAAGAAATGTCAGAGTCCAGTGAAGAAGAAGAGGAAGAAGATGAAGGAAATGAAGAACAATCAACTGAAAAGAAAAAGTTAGCATTCATTGATGATGAAGCAGAAGAGAGTGATAGGGAAGTAGAATTTGATGATGAAGAAAATGATATCAAGGATAAGGGAGAAAATGAAGAAGAAATAGAGGAAGAAGGAGATGAGGATTCTTCATCATCAAATGTTGCAGAAAATCTTGAGGAAGTCCCTGTCAACAAAACATTGAAAAGAATAGTTAAGGGCTTCACTGAAGATTCTGACGATGAAGAAGATACTTTCAACTCCCAAAATAATGTCACAAATGCCATTGAAAATTTGAATAAAAGTATAACAGAGGAAACTACACGTAAGTGATCAGTATTTAATATAAATTCATAATCTAGCTGAGTGTTTTCTATTCTTTTTAGAAGATGATGATTATATTCCACCATATCAACTCCAGAATACAAAAACCCCACTCAAGCAAGTTCCATTGGCAACAACAAAGTCTGATTTTGATTTCTTGACTCCTATTTCATACATTACTGGACTCCAAAATCTTAATTCAGCATCAAAGGTTAATGTTATTAGTTAGATACTCTCCTTAATTCCAGTTTGTTCTTGACACTTGAACATTTTTTTAGCCCAAAAATTCAGTGAAATCTCCATTTCAAATGCCGAATGTGCCATCACCTCTGAAAGACAGTAACTGGCAGTCAAATTTGCAGAAAAAGTTATTTTCTCATTCAGAAATCACTAGTTCCCAGGTGAGACTGTACAATATTTTTGCTCAACATTAAATAAGTACAGGGTGTCCCACTTAAATATGTCACCACCCTTTATCCTAGTAATTCTCAACATATTTTGGTCATTGAAAAACTTCTCTGGAATATTTTTTTACGAATTTTCTGAATCTGTGCTCACTTTTTTCACATCAACAAATTACAGGGTGGCTCAAAAAATGTTTTCATAATTCAATGAAGCCTGTCAATCCTAATTCAAATATATATATATATATATATATATATATATATCATTCATATATTATTATCGAATATAGATAATTTCATTTGAAAAAACTTTTTTTTTATTAGCCACCCTGAATTTTGTTGATATGAAGAAAAAGTGAACACAAATTAAAAAAAATTCGAGAGAAGTTATTCCAGAAACGTTTTTGAATGGCAAAAGAAGGTTGAGAATTACAAGGATTAAGGGGAGGTGACACATTTAGGTGGGTCACCCTGTACAAAAATCTCGTAGCAAACATGTTGAATAACATTGTGGATCTAAATAGAAAAGCTAAATGAAAAAGCTAGTTTAGTTGTAGTAAGTGAACAGTTGTGAAAAAAAAGTTGCCGTTGTAGCAATAAAATATTTATCTATGATACAAGGAAAAAAAGTAGTAGATTTTAGCTCTAGGTTGTGTTCTCTCCCGATGCGTAGAGAAAGTAGACAAAACATCGTGAGCTAAAATCTAATATTTTTCCCTTGAATAATACACAATTTTTTTCTGTGACAGGAAAAAGGACGAATCAATCATCATCATATTTCTGCAGGTATCTTTATCATTCTTTTGAAGTAATCAAATATCTGTCAGTCTAATTCTGTGATTTGATTTAAAAAAATTGCATATCAAGTGGTTGTTTAGTAATGCACAGAACCACCAAGTCAAATGGAAGATAAACTGACTTGCAGTTCTTTCTCGGAGACGGTGTATTGGCTTATTTCTCGGAACTATAGCACAACAAAAGCCATCAACAGTGTGATTGATATATATCCCGAAAAAAGTACTCACTTTTTTTCCCGTGGGAAAAAAGTAATTGATGAAAAGTGACATTATATAACCTGTCAACAAAGATGAAATTTCAAACTTGTTTCCCGTCACAGAAAAATAGATATTTATTATACAGTGGAAAAAAGTGTAAGTAGTAATTTAGCTCACGTTTTTTTGTCATCACAACCTGGAGGTCAAATCTAATACTTTCCCCGTGTATAATGCAATATTTTTTTCTCTGACAGGAAAAAGGACGAATTAATATTGAGAAGATTACATTGTATTAAAATCAGAAAATTATCCACGTGAAATTTGAAGTTCTTAACAGGAGTAAGTAGTAAGAAGTAATCAAACATCTGTCAGTCTACTTCTGTGATTTGATTTTGAAAAATTGCGAACCTAGTGGTTGTTCAGTACTTTAAGTAACCACGAAGTGGATTGGAAGATAAAAGGACCTGCAGTTCTTTCTCTTCCTCTCTTCCTCGGAGACGGTGTTATTGACTTACTTTTCGGAAGTAGCACAACAAAAGCCATCAACAATGTTTATATATCCGGGAAAAAAGTACTTTTTTCCCGTCACAGAAAAAAATGAATTTTTGCTCGCCTACCAGCTTCTTGATTCAGGTTCATAAGGTGCGTAACACAATTATTGTTTTTGATATTCAAAGTAAAATAGTACGCTACCCATTTTTCAAATTTTATTTACTGAAACATACTTCAAGAAAAGTTACATAGTACAGGAAGTGAGAGATACAATACACTCAAGTGAATATACAGTGTGTTTCACTTCTCATGGAAGGGCACTATACACTCTATAACAAAGTGAGGTTGGTCATCTGCAGAGATATATATACACTTGCCAGCAACCTTGGGATCATGGATATTTGCGGAAAGTGATATAAGGCATTGTCGATCTAAATAAAAACCTAGTAGGCGACCCAGTGCAAGGAGGTATAATACTCCTGCCTACTAACTACCTAACTAGGTTGTCATCTAGAACGACAATGTATAAGGAGACAAGATAGGCTTAATAATTTTTTTGGATCGAAAATCGGTACATCAAATTCACTGCTGATACAGCTGTCACTTCCTGTAGAGAATTTAAAACTGCAACTTCAATAAGCACTGTTAATACAATCAGGGTTCTTGCATGAGAAGTGTTGCACATTGCTTTCCTTTTTTTGTTGAAATAGGTACTCGAATTTATGTAATTGTAACTTCGTTATTTAGGCGGAAGCAATTGCAGAAATGTGTTCGAGCAAATTCTCGGATAGCCAAGAAACTACTGATAGCATCTCAAATGACCATCCGCCTGATTCACAAAATGACATACCACCCACTGCACCACCAAATACTCAAGACCTACTAAATGTTTGCTCAGGTATTTATGTTAACATCACGTTTGACTCTAATAATAGAAAACTACCTGAAAATGCAAGATTTTAATTATCAAGCTCCATTTTTTCGATCATGAGAACAAACGCCCAAAATCATTGGTCTTATACCGAATTCCATTGGTAAAAGTGGATCGCACTGAATGCATATTTTGTATTCCATTGGTAAAATTGGTGTCAGGTTTTGAATTCCATTGGAAAACTGGTTCACATAGTTTAGAGCTCAGTGCAGCAATTCTCGCACGAGCTCTAATAGGTCCTGCGAAGTCAGTGCAGTTTGAAAATGGCGGAAACATTGAATATGAATAGTTTGAAAACCAAATTGTTAGTGGCAATCCAATCATCATCACAAATAGTGATGAAAAGTTGGAGGTTGGAGAAAATGAAGGAGATTACTTTCCAGAACTCATAATTTTGTTGAAAGTATTTAGCGAATTCAATGATGAAGATAGGTACCTTAAAAAAATGAAGTACTCAAAATTATTTCCATGAAACATCTACTTTGTGTTTAATTGAAGTTGAGAAACAATTTCAGGATGCGGGCAAGTTATAAACAAAGACAAACAAACTTTGTTTTTTTCAATCCTTACTACAAGGTTCACTTCGTAAGGTTTGCCTCCCAGTTTATTCAAAATACCTATCTTCATGTTCCAATGTATATTTTGTAAACGTTTTTGAATAAACTTATATTATTATTATTAACCTCCAACAATAATTTTATTATAATATTATTTCTTATTCCATTGGGAATGCACGAGTTCAAATTTTGGAGAGAACTAAAGTAATGGGGGTGCAAAACAGGTTTACGAATGGAATTCGAATGTGGAATAATGGAAATTTTATGTTGGTAACATTGGAAATAGGAAAAAAATTGAGAAGATCATAATAGCCCCAATATGAATAAAGGGTTAGAATGACCTTCTTCTCCATTTGTTCTCATTTCTGGTGACATACAATGATCATTATTTCATTTTGGAAAACTGGAGACAAGGACAGATGAGAAAGCTCCTTTTTCTCTCTCAACGCTAGCTGAGCTGCTTTCCAGCAACGTAATCAGGGAACTCGGTACCGGTATAGTAGTTACAGTACCTTTGCACACCTGGTCAGCTCTTTTGCCTTCCACGTTTGCACGTAAGTCTGTGCTTCATGCACCTGAACTTTACGTGGATTCATTCCCTCTACCCCCCTCATGCACAAAGATTTTAGCGAGGGCGTCGAGCACAAAATTATTAATTTATTAATAATTTATTAATCTTTTGGAACTTACAAGAGTTATAGGACAAGTCAACAAAGCAGCACACAAAATAATGATAATAATACGATCCTAAATAACAGTAATATTGATATTGACAAATGAATCAAATGGACAATGACATATATAGGCAAAGACATATAAAACTGCAATAAGACTTTATAATAATTTGAGAATAAAACACTCACAGGTATTGAAGTAAAGTTAAAACTTTGAAATTAAAATTGATATAGATCAACCAAGTGCTCCTTCGAATTCTTGTATAGAGTAAGGACAAAGATCTATGAGGAGTTTGAACAAAGCACGTTTGAATTTGCGAAAAGGCAAGATAGTTTTCAAGTCTTGTGGTAGAGAATCAAACATGTGGACACCTAAAGTGTTTGGTGACCTTTTGGTTAGTTCCAGGTGCTTGAATGGCACATGGTAGTTCTCTTTCTTTCTAGTATTGTGAGAGTGCTTGTTACTATTCTTCTTGTACAAATTTTGATGTTGATGAAGATATGTCATAAGTTCAAGAATGTATATGCCGGTGACTGTTAGAATTTCATTTTCTTTAAATATGTTTCTACATGAGTGCGTTGCTGGACAACCAACTAGGCATCTTAGAATACACTTCTGAGCAAGAAATACATTAGTTGCTGCAGGAGTGTTCCCCCATACATAATAATAACATAAGAAATTCTAGAATGCACTGCTGCAAAATGAAATTTTAGGAGATGACTCAGATGCAGTGCACTTTATAGGTTTCTAATTTGATAACATTTAGAGTTTAAGATCCCACATAACTTATTACAGTGGGTTCTGAATGAAAGAGTGGAATCAAAATACACTCCAAGAAACTTAACGTCATCGATGGTGTCAATAGTATTTTCATTTAAGCGGATATTTAATCGTGGTATATTTGTATTCTGATGAGAATGAACGGTTGTGTAGTTAGTTTCACTAGCATTGAGCAACAAGGATCTATCAGAAAACTTTATTGACTAGTAGTTCATAAAATGACGAAAACTACCTTGAACTCTACCTTGAACAAACACACTTTATGCCTTGAAATAGTGGGTCCTATAGCTAGTGGTGGAAAAACATATATTATCTTTCGTTCTCAGGCGACTTTGCCGAGACCCCCGAGCCGCAAATCCCCGCCAGCATGCCCCCCACCTCGCAAGACCTGCTCGACATCTGCTCGGGCGACTTCGCGGGTACCTCGCGAGTCGTCGCTCACGAGTTCCGGCCGGCCCACGAGGAGAAGGAGTTGGGTGCCGAAGAGGATCTGATCATCTCGCAGGTAACACGCCATTACTTGTTTCTTTCTGACGTTATCAGGATGACTTCCGAAATGACATTCAAACTATCCTGATCCTATAAGTCAAAGGCGAACGTCGTCATGAGAGTATTATTATTTATTACAGGGGCGCTCACTCTTACAGTGCCGGCGATCTACTACAAAATATTTGAGTGAAAGGCGGTCGACCAACTTAATGTTATTAAAAAAAACCAATACATTTGCGGGGATATGATTTATTCCACTTCGAAATGAAACATAGGTGTACATATAATGAATAATAAGGCACAAAATGTCAATTACTCTCTGGACGTTGATGCACGGCACTGCATATCGTCGGCGTACTTTTCATAAGACGGTATGCAATTCATACCCCTGTCAGTTTTTTTACTATCAATCTTTTTTTTATGATCACAGGCGTCGATTGTGGGCTCTGAAGAACAATTCTGCAATAGTGACTACTTTCCACACGACATGTCAAGTGATTTTTACAGCCTCCAAAGGATATGGGTTTTTATTTTGATCTCTTGTAATACTCATACCATATATTTCTTTTTCTGTAAATTCAAATACGAATCGAGTTCTTTTGAGGATCATAGTTTTCATTATCAGATATTCTCACAAAGTAGCAACATTTGTGAAAAGTCATGATGTATCGACGTACAAATGACGTCATCTTGTTATTTGGCAGCTGCTGGACGAGGAGGAGATGGCGAGCTTCAGGAGGAAGTTCGACTCGCCCGCGTTGAGCGCCACGCAAAGGAGGGTGGTGGAGGAGTTCGAGGGTACGGGGGGTGGGGGGGTGATCGGGTCGGACGACGAGGACGAGGGGTTGGAGGTGAGGAAGAGGAGGAATCAGATGAAGCTGACGTTTTCAGGTGAGGGAATAGTATATTGTGCAACAAGTGGGGAAAGTTCAACTTTTCTCACGAGTGTGAATGTTTGTGGCACGAGCCTGAAGGACGAGTGATGCAAACACACGAGTGCCCTATTTCACGTTAAAAATCAACTTTCAATATGGATTCAGAAATGGTAGATCTACAACAGAAAATTAACTAGATTTGGTTAATTATACAACAAACTGTTTGGTAGGTGGAAGCCAAGTTGATACCATTTATACTGATTTCTCGAAAGCGTTTGATAGATCATGTCATTTCGATTCATAAACTTCAATTTCATTTTAGTAATATTTTCTGTAACTTCGTAGCATCGTACTTGAAAAACAGGAAGCAATATGTTACTGTACAAAATTTTGATTCACAGTGGTACATTTCAACTTCTGGAGTTCCACAAGGAAGTATGCTAGGTCCACTGTTGTTTTTGCTATTCATCAATGATATCACCAGCTGCATCAAACACTGTAGGGTCTTGCTATTTGCAGATGATATGAAGCTATTTTCAAAAATTGATAACTTGGAAGATGCTACGAAGTTGCAAGAATATTTAGATAATGTCTTTCAATGGTCGCAAACAAATCATTTAACCTTTCAATGCTTTTTTTGTGCATGGCACAACAGCACAATGATGATTCCTTTGATTTTTCCTTTGTTTTAATGTTTTATAGAAAAGTGAGGTTGTGTTTCAATGTTTTACCTCCAGGATCGGTCATCGTGCACGCGACCTATGAGATATACATAATCATTCGAATTTTGAATATTTTTCCACTCGAATATTTAAGGTTATGTGTATCGCACCGTCGTACAAGCACGGTTTTGAACACTCGAACTTTGAGCGAGCATCGAGCAAGTATAAAAGCCAATGAGGCAGTGGAAATCATATTTTGTCGACTAAAGTTCGCTCTTGAAATTCTCAGTTGACCACGCAAAACGCGCTTAGTGCTGAAAAAGTTCGAGCTAGTGGAAAACGAGTGGAAAACGCACTAAAAAAAATACAGTACTTACCTGTGAAGCCAAATTCTTAAGGAGGTGGAAACGAGCGATACACTCTCTATGAAGAAATTCTCTCATAATTCGTAAACCTTGAAGTTGAAAGGTGAAGCAATTGTGCATTACGTTATCTGATGATATAGACGGCATTTGAATTGAGAAAAAATCCTTGTTGTATCAAAATAATAGGTAATTTCAAAAAAGTGTTGAATGAATGTATACCTAGGTGTTCCATTGAAATTAACAAATTTTCTCACCTTCACAATATTCATTTGTTTCATTCACTGACGATTTATGATTATTAAACCCTAAGCTGTTCGAATATACTTCCTCCAAAAAATATGTTCAGTGAGTAATTGAAAACTTTTCATATTTTTGTTAGATGATAGTTCCGATGACGACCAAAACCAAGATGATGATGAAGAAATTGATTTACATGATGAGATTGATGAAGATGACGAGGATGTGCCGGCGGATAACATTGGGTACGATTCGGAAGAAAATGAAGTAGAATATGTTGATGATGAGGATCAAACTCAAGGTAAGTCATGAATACACCATAGTTTTTTTACAACCTATCAACAAAGTAGCCTTTGGCATTGCCAAATCTCAACGTTGACGTTTTGCATGAGGTGCCTTTATTTGACAGGCAGCGAAGCGAACCAAGAACCTAATAAATATTGTGAGTGAACTAACAAACTCACCTGATGTAGCAGAAAGTGCAAAATTTGTTGAGTACGTTGAATCTCCTAATATCCTACTGTGGAAATCAAGAATGAATCCTTCCAAATGGTCAGTCTTCCCTATGTTTGGCACCGCGCCCACATATTTCCCTGATACCAATTTTTACCAAACCTTAATGATAGCTATTGAGGTTATGTTCCCATTGTCATCTGTGTATTGATTTAGACTGGATCGCCCATCGAAAAATTTACATAGTTTTTTCAGGTAATGAGAAAAACTCTAGAAAAACGCTCGGACAGGTCGATTTAAATTTGATGGAGGACACAACTTCCAATTTCGAAATGGAAAACCCTGTATTTCAATTCTATGTTCGAAATTGTTTAATTTCGGAGGTCATTTCAAACGTACCGTCAAGGCCACCATTTGGCGATACGTCGAATAAATGGTGCGTCAGCTTTTATGCTGTTTCGATATTGGTCAGATAATCTTCCATTCCCACTCACAAAGCAAGGTTGTCAAGTCACCGATTATAATCAAGTTATCATAAAGATGTAAGAGTCCTGTCGTTGTATAAAACATACTAGGAGGAACCCATGATATTAAAGTTCATTCTTGACTTTTTCGAGCAATCAGCATGTCCAAATATTTCGTAATACTCCATAACAAAATAGCATGTGAATGTTTGGAGCCTTGGCAACATTGTGCTGAATGCTGAGAAGGGACAAGACCATGCCCTCAAATCGTGCGCGCCGTGTTGTCACCTTCACCGCTTCAAAATGTCAAAATGTCCTCTTGTCTGAATTAATACAATTACTACTTACACATATACACGAAGCAATAAGTCACAAATCATAGGGAAACATTTTGAGACAATTGATTTTATATTGCTTAATAGGAATATAACCAATACATAATTGAGATCGGGTCGATTCTGTTCGGATCTTGTTATAACATTGCTAAGATGATCTTAACATATAACAATATTGCTATGAAGTTCTGTATTCTGTTTGCAGAGTAACTGCAAGACTGGTTATAAGTTCAAGTGATAGCAATATTGTTGAAAAATTGAGAATTTTTGAGCTGACAACACTGTTTTCAACTCATTGTTTGAGTGTTAGGTATCGATTTTGCCATTATTTCATGAAGATGAAGAGTTCATGATTATCTAACCTCTCAAATTAGTCAGTCCTGCACTGACATTTTACAAAATTATATTGTTCAAATCCAGAGATTTTGTATTTGCTGAATCTGGTCGTCGTTGTGCGACTGGTGCAAGTAATCAATCATGTCCCCGAAATGAGAAACAACTAAAAGCCGGATGAAAATAATCGTGATTTTTTTTAATATTCTAGCAAAATAGCTTGATAAACTATCCATCAGGCAACTGAAATGGTTTTTCTGGTTCTTAATATGCCGAAATTGTAGTCTCATATTTCCTCTACAAATTGGAACTTCAAGAAAAGGTTTTCAAGTAGTTGGTCACAGTAGTGAACCTATCCTATCTGTTTGTAATCACCATTCTAAGTTTTTCAATAAGTCTTCTACGAATTGAAACTTTGAGGAATGGTTTTCGAGTAGTCAGTGACACAACTGAACTCGCATATGTTTTTAATCCACTATTTTCTGAAATTACATACAGTTGGAAGAATTTGTAGTGCAATAACGAAGAATCCACTACCTTGTTAGATAGCAAGCACAAAATTGATGTTGCCGAAATAGCAAGAAAGCTGACCAGATGTCATTGAAATTGACAGATCATATTGCCAAAAATCGATAATTAGAATTCCACTTTTTCGAATTTTGCTATGATTGCAATATCTTCTCTACAACCATATTGCTATTTGCAAACAGAATCGACCCGAATGTATGAATGTTTGAATAACTAATATTTCTGAAGTTCCCAATCGTATTTCAATACATGACAACTGTGCTATGGTCTGCCCCTACCTACGAAATCGTGACGCAAGGGCGTCGCCAGCGGAAAAAATAGGGGGGGGGGCACCATAAAAAAACTGAAGAGAAAAATCAAATAGAAAGAGTTTAATGAGAAAATCAAAGAACAGAAATAAATCTATACAGTAAATCAGTTGAAAAATAATCTTCTAGGGTTCTTTGGGAATTCGTTGGTCACTTTTTGACGAAATCGTTCAAGTTTTTGAAAATATGTTGCCTGTGTATACTCATCATTGCGAGGCCATTGAGTCGAGCATCATACATGGTGCTCCTCAACCAGGTTTTGATTCTCCTAAGGCTACTAAATGACCTTTCAACTGTACAAATCTTACAAGGTAAAGGCAACAAGGATCTTCAGAGCCTTCTCAACTTCAGGAGCAAAATATACTTTCGGAAGTTCTTTGCTCAAAGTGAGCGTTATCATAAGTAATATCACGATATTCTTAATATTCGAGATAATTCTGTCGCCTTATTGTTCACGAAATTGTGTTGCTGAGCAACACCACGAATCAGGACGAAAGGTCGGGCTGTACGGCAACACAATACATTTGGCAAGAAAATGAAGAATTATGAGAATATATTCAGAACAGAGTGGAGACTATTTCACGTTCACGAAGCAAAGAAGCATTTATGTTTATTTATTTATTTATTTATTTATTTCAGTTATTGCATTACATTCTCTTCTTCATTGATACATTTCATACAAATAATATATAAAGTATAATTAATTTTCTAGTAGGAATGACATGAATGATCAGACAGTAATTCCTGGTATAAGATCATTCATGAAGTATTATCGACTGTTGTATAATTGAAATTACAAATTGTGAACAAAACTTACACATCATTAAGATACAGACATATTATAGTGAACAAGAAGGGGAAAAATAAAAACAGTGAAAAAAAAAAAAAGGAAATTCATAGTCTTTCAGCTTTGATCATTCCTTTGCATATAAATATATTTCTTAACTTTATTTTTGAATTGCATAATATTTGGGCTGTTTTTGATATCATCTGGTAATTTATTGAATTTCGAAATCGCCTCATGTGTAAACTTTTTTTGTCCAAGTTTAGAATTTGCAGCTTCAAGATGAAACAAGTTATATTGTCTAGTGTGATGATCATGAATTTCGGAATTCCTGATTAATATAAAATTTGATTTAAGCTTTTTGTTGATGATATAATAGGAAATTTTGAGAGTATTGATTAAAAAGTGCTCTTCCAAAGAAAATGTGTTTGTTTCCTTATACAGTTGAATCGTTGGGGTATCATATGGAAGACGATACAATACTTTCAATGCCTTTTTATATAGAACAGAAATTTTGTTGAAACTATTTTTGGAACAAGATCCCCAAATATTTATGAGATAGTTAATTCGACTGAGTATATGTGAATAGAGAATAATATTTGATGTATATGTACTAAGTTTAGGACATCTTCTCAAAGCACCAATAATGGGAGATACTTTTCCTATGAGGATGTCTATATGCTTTCCCCATGTTAATTTCTCATCAATCCAAATACCAAGGTATTTGGTATGGGCAGTTTGTTTCAAACGTTCATTTTTTATTCTAATATTCAGATCAATATTTTGTTTATTTCTTTGACGAAAAATCATATATTGAGTCTTATTAGAATTGAGAGAAAGAAGATTGGAATAAAGCCATTTCTCAACTTTTTTCAAGTCCTCATTTATGATATGTTCTAGAACTACTGGGTTTTTATTCTCATATAGAAGCACTGTATCGTCTGCATATGGTATAGTTTCCTATCAAATTCATTCTTTCAATATTTTGAATGTATAATAGATAAAGAATTGGACCCAACACTGATCCTTGAGGAACCCCTTTGTTTAAATATAGTATCTTAGACTCACAGTTATTAATTTTAGTTATAATAGTTCTATTTTCAAGATATGATTTCAAGAGATCGTGTCCAATTCCTCTGATTCCCATTGAAGCAAGGTTTTTCAGAAGTATATTGTGGTCAACTGTATCAAAAGCCTTTTTTAGATCCATGAAAATCGCTACTACATAATTTCCTTTGTCAAGTCTGTCCTGAATGAAATTGATTACTTGTAGCACTGCAGATTGTGTACCACTGTCTTCTTGAAATCCGAATTGGTTCAAATCGAATCCATATTTTTTATTGATAAAATCTACAATTCTTTTTTTGAGAATTTTTTCTAGAATTTTGGAGAATATACTTAATAATGCTATTGGCCTATAATTTACTGGATTTTGAGCATCACCACTTTTATATATAGCCCGTAAAGAGGTATTTTTCAATTCATCTGGAAAAATACCTGTTGTGAAATATATATTGATTAATTTTGTTGAATGAATGATTCATTCTGACAATTACAGTCATTATTTTTTGCCAAATTGACAGACTTCGCTTCGCTACCCATGGTTACATCGTTGAAAACATCTAGTTTTCGCGATGAGCACACGTTTTCTCTGGCTTGTGATTGGTCAGATTATGTGATGAATGAAATAGTCGTTTCAATGATAGCAGGGTGACTGGTGAGCGTTAATCGTAGGGGGGGGGGGGCAGCTGCCCCACCCTGCCCCTCTCTGGCGACGCCCTTGTCGTGACGTCAGTTTCTACTCGCGGTAAATTTCCATCCCTATGAAAATTACCGTGGCATTATTGATGATTTTAGCACCTAAAAATCGACCAAGAAATGGTTAAAAAATATGAAATTGAAAGGTATTTGAGTGATGAATGAGAAAAAAAAAAAAAAAGGCCACTCGCCCATTATAGTCCAATAGCCGGTTACAAATGTCTACCGTCATCTGATAACAAAATGCAAAAGGCATGTAAAAACATTAAATTTCATCGAACGGCACCTGTGCCGATCACTATCCTGAGCGAAATGACGCACTCAATTTTGCGATTAGATAACGAAATTGTAAGTATGCCATCTGATATCAATTGAATGGTAGATCTTCCTGTAGAAGTTACAACCATGAAACTTCGTATCAAAGTATTCGATGTGTTCCTCCATTGAATGACTTCTTCACCAGTTATATCAACTTCTTATATCTTGATACAGGGGCAATCGGAAAATCAAAAATATCAAAAGTTGCCATTGAATAAATAACACCCTATATAAGATTTTGCGCTACAATGCTCAAAGTGGAATGAAATGTTGATAAAATACAAAAGGCTCAAAGTCATTTCCACACAAAGTTCATAATTATGGACTAGACATATAGACCATTTGAGAAATAAAATATATCCGATCATAGGCATTTTATTCAAAATCCCAAATATCATTTCCATAAAATACTTGAAATGTATTTACTTTTGCCTCATATATTCAAATTTGCAATATTTAATTTCTATTTGGGGGAGTACATAAATTATTATATTTCACGTCTGAAACCACTAATGAAATTACAAAACAAATCAATTGAGTGCATTTTTCATCTACATTTTCTAGAACCAACGATAAATTTATACAAACCAAGACATTTTCTGAACCTGATTTCATTATATAAACTTGAAATATGTTGCTTTATTCATTTTGCCAGGAATAAATTGAAAATATCAAATTTAGCTTTCAATGAAGTCAATACAGTCCATAATTATGGGACTAGACAATTGGATCTGTTTTAGGACCAATTTTATATTTATTATATATTCAAAATATCACGAAAATTGGTATAGAATGTAATAACACTATTTATGCAGACGATACGGTACTTTTATATGAAAATAAAAATCCTATCATTTTAGAAAATATAATAAACAGAGACTTGATGAAATTTGAAAATTGGCTGCATTCAAACCTCTTATCAATAAATACTGATAAAACTGAATATATGGTTTTTCAACAAAAAAATAAACAAAATATAAATTTAAATCTCAGAATTAAAAATGAATCTTTGAAACGAACTAATGAGAAAAAGTATCTTGGGATTTGGTTTGATGATGAATTGAAGTGGGACAAACATATAAATGTTTTGAAGAAAAAAATATCTCCTATTATTGGAGCCCTGAGAAGATGTCCCAAGCTGAATAAAAAAGTTGCAAATATAATTCTATATTCTCATATACTCAGTCGTATTAACTATTTGATAAATGTTTGGGGATACTGTTCAAAAAACAATTTTAATAAAATATCTGCATTATATAAAAAGACATTGAAAGTACTGTATCGTTTACCATATGATACACCAACAAATCAATTATATAAAATAACTGAATCATTCTCATTAGAAGAAATGTTCAAAATCGAAAGACTGAAAATTACATACAATATCATAAATAAAAGATTGAAATCTAATTTTATTTTAACACGAAACAATGAAATTCATAATTATCAAACTAGACAACATGGTTCATTTCATCTTGATATCGCTAATACTTCTATAGGCCAAAAAAGATTCACCCACGCTGCTCTCTTGGAATATAACAAATTACCAGATAATATAAAAAATTGCAGAAATACAATAAAATTCAAATACCATCTTAAAAAATTTATCATTTCTGAACGAAATAGATGACTTTTTTTTTTCAACTTATGATTCATATTCAAATTGATTTTTGCTCACCAATATGAAATGATTTGTCAAAATTTAATAATTAATGTTTTCAAATATTTTATTATTCATCAGTTTATTATAATTGTATAGTTTTAGGTATTATTGTTAACTATACTTCCTTATACCAGAACTTGATTCTGACTGGAAGTAACATTTTCAATAAATAAATAAATAAATAAATAAATTCAAGTCAAACATTGGCAAACAATCTGTTCTTCACAATGGAATAATTTTATACAATTCATTACTGAATGAGTTGAAAAATATACATGATGCAAACAGGTTTAAAATCAATCATAATAAATACTTGCTCAGGACAATTTGAATGAAAAATATGTGGCATGATTTGATTACTTAGGAATGAAATATAACTTGAATCTTAAGAAACAATATTAATTCGTTTCCACTGAGTGGAATTCATTAGTTAACCCTTTATTATTATTTTTTTATATGTATTTATGTATCTCTATCATGAACAGAAATGTTTCTTGGGGTAATAAAGACAATCAATCAATCAAAATGAACAACAATGGTAGATTTCGGGAGAAAAAGAACTACTTTCCTGGCTGATGCCACGCAGAACATGGAATTACATACATCCTCCCGAAATCTATGCATCGACTCGTATAAACGAATACTGATACAAGTGATTCTTTCCTGAATGCCTATTGATTTCGCGAAATCAAATCTACCATTGTTCTTCATTTTATGAACTTTGTGTGGAAATGACTTTGAGCTTTTTGTATTTATTAAACAAAAGTAGGCCTTGAAAATCCGAATATTTCAAATTCATTCACATTCTCGAAAAGAGCTTTGAGTACTATATCATGGAATTCTTATATTTGTAAATTAGTCGACGGGTTCCAAATTAGAAGGGTGTTGAGTTTTGAAATCGCACACATATCATTTCGTTATCAGATGACGGTCAAAAACTGAAAAAGTTACCCCTCATTATTGGCCCCTTTTTCATTTAGAACGTCCGAAGCCGCTGAAGACGGCCGACTTCTTCGAGGACGAGGCCGAGCTGTCCGAGTCGGAGTGGGGCAGCGCCGACGAAGATGAGAAGGACTTGGACGATTTGGAGTTTGAGCTGGGCGACACCGACAAGTTCGACGAGAAGCAGATGCGTACTGATTTGGAGAGGATACACATGCGGAGGATGCTGGATGACGATACGAGAGAGGTGAGCAGAAGTAGATGATGATGATACGGCGTTTTCGGAAACTTACTCGATTTGATCGGATCCCTAAACCGAGTCACCTACCTCTGTTCGGAAACTTGAGTGTTGCTTGTCACGTGACCTCTCTGGATCAAGTTAACAACCCAGAATAAGTTTCCGAAAACACCTATAGTCAATCTATTAACTGATGATAGAATACTCTCAGATATATTACGAACATGAAAAAATGATTATATACATGAAGAAATACATTGCAAATTCGCTTTCTCTTTGTGATAAAAATATCAATATTCAACAGAAATCAACTACTTTCCTGGATATATGAATTATATCATATCTATTGAACACAGATAAAAATAGGTAAATGCACATAATATCATTCTGAATATTCAACAGAAAACAACTAATTTCCTGACTATTTGCCACATCGAACATTGAATTCTGTTGAACATCCAAAAGTGAACATAAAAATTATAATCCTCTGAAATTGGGAATTGCCATTCTCTTTCAAATTGGATAAATAATATGATGTATAATGATATAAAAATATAACTTTTTCTACGGCTATAACACAATATTGGTCTTGTTTTACTGTGGTAGATACATCAATGAGGTACTTTGTATGCCATCAATTTTATTTCCGTATCTGATATCATAATGACTCCATTGTGTTATTATTTAAAAAAAATCTCATCGCTCATGGAATGTCAAATTTAAAGCAATGACAACTCTGTCTAATAGATGAGCATTACTTGAAAAGAAATCAGATGGCTACAAGACGAATAAATCACAAATGCCGCTGTTATCACTTACAGCCGTAGAAAAATCAAAGTGTATAACTCGCTCGGAATGCCAATTTCCCACTCGAATGATCGCAGCTGGAAACTTCATTCTCGTGGAAAATCACTACCATTCCGTCGTTAAACAATATACTATACCAATATATTCAGTATTAAAATCAAAATTGAATTGTATAGGAGAAGTTTAGTTGCATAAACTCTGATCTTGATGAGCTTGAAACTCCCAAAAATCATTCGTATCAGTGATATGGGAATATTATCTCTCACAATATATGACTCAAAAAAATATATGTTCAGAGTTCAAAGATTAAAATGATTTTTATTTTTTAAAGTAAATCAACATATCTTTAATTTTGCAAGGAATTACAGGAAATTCAATAAATTCGGAGGCATTTTAAAGGCCTCAAATAAATTTCAGGGCTCTCCATGGGATTTCAACAAATTGAAAAATATCCCAAAGAATTCCAAAGATTCCTTGGAACTACAAAGTTTTCCAAGGATTATAATAAATTATCCAGTATCAGCTTTTCATACATGAAGTTTGTATTTACCAGAAAATTCTAAAAGTTTCAAGTACTTTCAGCAAATTTCAAGAGTTCCAAAAAATACAATAAATAAAATAAATTTCCAGAAAATTACTAAGTTTCCCAAAGAAATACAACAATCCAAGAGTTTTCAAGAAATCGAAGAATTCAAAGAAATTCTAAGTAATTACAAAGGATTCCGAAGAATTTCAGAGAATTCCAAAGGATTCCGAGGAGTTTCAAAGAAATTCATTAATTTCAACAAATTCTGAAGAATACCTTCATAAGAATTTCAGTAAATTTCATTTAATACTGAGTACAGAGGGAATGAAATGATTTCAAGAAATACAGTTTGAAAACTCGTCAAACGAATAAAATGCTGTCTCCAGTGAATATTTCTTGAGATTTCCTATGGATTTTGAATCTTCCAATTGTTGAAATTTGTCAGGTAAAACATTCAAAAAACGAACAGCAAGGCACCTAGGGTAATCTCAACAAGTTTCTAGTCTACAGAATTTGGGTTTCAAGTTTTTTTTGTTTCTTGTATCATGGTCATGATTATCCTGATGAATCTCTTGTAGATGAAGGTTTTTTTTTAAACATAGCTTAGACATTCAAGAATGAAAACACATAGGAATGTCAAAATACTAGATCTCTAAATGCATGCCTACAGTCATCAGGTTAGGATAATCCTGCAACAACTCTTACTGTCCATCGTTGAATTTTGAAAACCTCTACAGCACTCGCACCATGTCCCCAGACCAATATCACATAAGAAATTAATGTGGAGGTTAGGTTCCATGTGAGTTGGGCGAATACCGCCCTTCCACTGCGACCCCAGATAGGTATTTTGTGGCTCACCCCTAGAGGTTACAGTTCACTATACAATCCACATCTTTTTACAAAATCTAAATTGGTAAAGCCAGATATGTCAAACCTCAGTCTCATGAACATTATATGTGTTCAGCCGTTTCGTCTCTCACACAGCAGAACCTACAGTCCGTTTGTTGGTTCAGACCCATCCTTCCCAGGTGGTATCTTAGACGACAGTGTCCCGTAAGCAGTCCTGTCAGAATTCGCAGGTCACCCCTGTTCCATTCTAGGATCAGCCTGGTTATATTTTTCGATGGTTTAGGCAGAAACGAATGGGTTAATCCTGGTAATTCAGACCAGTACGTGAGTTTTTTCCCCTTCGCCCAGTCTGAGATAGTTGTTTTGGCCGCACTTGCGGTGATCCCAAAGTATGGTTGGTAATTTTGCACTTATTATGCGATGGGTTTTTTCTCGAAAATTTTTTTTGGTACTTACGTATTTTTGTCTGAAAAACACGAATTTGATAATGAAAATGTGAACAAACCACTATTTATTGAGATATTTCAAGAAAAAGTTCGAAATTTTGCCTTCTTTTCCCCCTTGTGTTGGATGCATTTACAGGTACTTGCTCTTATTATTTTGTCATTGGACACTTTATATACTCATGATGTACTTCACTGACACATTTTAAGATAGAAAATTCAACAGGAAATATGATTTTTATGGCGAGTTTTTCCTATTTAGTGAGCAAACATACCAGCTGACGGCCATTTAATCCATATGCAATCCAAATACGAGATGTCAAATGTCAATAGATTGCTTTGGAATGACATTACACACGCCGTTATTTCAAATGATATTCTTCCTTCTTTTCACTAAACATGGATAAATCACAAGAAAATCATATTTCTAGTTGACTCATATAATAAAAAAAATGTGTCCAACATTGTGTGATATATATAAATTGTCCAATGATGGAAAAAGAAGGGCAAATTGTTCTAAATGTGATCCAGAAGACAGGCGGAAAAGAAGGTGAAATTTGTAACTTTATAGTGAAATATCTCAATAAATAATGGTTTGTTCACATTTTCATTATCAAATTCGTGTTTTTCAGACAAAAATACGTAAGTACCAAAAAAAATTTTCGAAAAAAAAAACCCATCGCATGATAAGTGCAAAATTACCGTATGGTTCTGGTCCTATGAACATAGATTCGGTTCCCTGTTTGGCTAGGATGTTGGCTTTCTCCTGGTGTCCAGGCACCCACAGCAAAGTAACTCTGTTGTTTGCACCCAGGCATTCTATGGATTGTGGCTATGACAGAGAGAATAATAGCACTGTCTGACAACCATTCTATATACACCCTGGGTAAGATTTCTTAGAACAAAAATGTTTGTGTTTAGTTTATTGCATACTTTTTCTACATGTGGTCACCAAAGGCACATAAAGTTTATTTTGTAATTTATTTGTTGTTCTTTAAGCCGAAACGAATCATTGTAGGTGAAATTACTGCAAGAACTCTTATTAGAAGATGGCGAACTACACGGCTCTGGCAGACAGAGGCAATTCAAATGGAAGAACCTCGATTCTGTGAACGACGACGACGAAGAAAGCAAGAAAGAAGAAGACGACGCGTACCTCGACGAAGACGAGAGCGAAGAACAGTGGCGGAGGAAACGATTCGAGAGGGAGATGTTCTTGAAGGAGAAACAGTCGAAGTCGCAGGCGGTGGCGGAAGTTGAGGACGACGATGAGGATGTGTTGGAAGAGAGCCAGTTTCTGAAGATCGGGCATAAAGTGATGGGGAGGTCTCAGAGTAGTTCGCAGAGTAACGTTTCTGTAGAGAAAACAGTAGGGACGCTTGGCAGCCCGGATATCAAGAGTGCTTTTAGTTTAACGGTGAGTTATTTTCCTCAGTTTTCAGTTTTTTCAGCCGGAAGATATTCTGTTTTGGGAAATATTTGTCATTGCTAATAAAACGCTATGACTAGCAATGGCGTAGTTCAGTTCAAGACTCCAATATAATTTATTCATGAAAACCTCTTGCTGATTTTTCTGTTAAGTTTGTCATTTTCTGAAAATATGCTATATTGATTTAATACCAATCATCTGTTCCAGTCTATTTTTCATTAAATCATTAAAAATAATTGAATATTAAGATTTCTGGTAACTTATCAGTTCTATCAATAGGTAACGATACTAGTTTTACTTTCCAACAAAAATATGAGGAGGAGAAAGATTCCACAATGCTTCTGTTTCCCACTGATGAAAGCGAAATCATTTCTATAATCCATGATTTAAAAAAGACATGCCCTGATCCAGAAGGTTTGATTACTAAAGACATATTTGAATTGAGACACATTTTAGCTACACCAATATCAAAATTAATCAATGAATCTTTCATAAAAGAAAGTTTCCCACACGAATTGAAACATGCATCAGTAAGAGCTATTTACAAAAATGGAAATGCTCAGGATCCAACTAACTATAGACCAATAGCTTTAATAAGCATATTTTCTAAAATTTTTGAAAAAATTCTCAAGAAACGCATTGTAGAATTCATCAACAAAAAATATAGCTTCGATTCTAATCAATTTGGTTTTCAAGAAAACAGTGGAACACAAGCAGCAGTATTACAAGTGATTGAATCAATCCAGAGAGGACTTGATTCAGGAAATTATGTGGTAGCTGTTTTCATTGATCTCAAAAAGGCTTTTGACACAGTTGATCATACAACACTTTTAGAAAACTTAGAAACAATGGGACTCAGAGGCACTGTGAGAAATATTTTGAATTCATATCTTGAAAATAGGACAATCAATACAAAATCAACCAACTCTGTGTCAAATAAACTATTAATCAATAAGGGTGTCCCACAGGGCTCTGTTTTAGGACCTATACTATATTTACTTTATGTTCAAAATATCAGTGAAATTGGTCTCACGAGTAAATATACCATGTATGCAGATGATACAGTACTTTTATATGAAAGCAAGAATCCTTCAAATTTAGAAAATATGATAAATGAAGACTTGAAAATATTTGAAAAATGGCTCCACTCTAACCTTTTATCGATAAATACTAAAAAAACAGAATATTTGATTTTTCACCAAAAAAATAAACAAAAAATTTACCTCAACCTTAAAATGAAAAATGAACTCTTAAAACAAACTGACCAGATAAAATATCTTGGAATTTGGTTTGATGACAGGTTGAAGTGGGACAAACATATTGATGTTCTGACAAAAAAAATATCTCCAATTATTGGTGCATTGAGAAGATGTCCCAAACTTGATATTAAAATTGCAAACATGATTCTCTACTCTCATATACTGAGTCGTATCAACTATTTAATAAATGTTTGGGGAACTTGTTCAAAGAACAATTTCAATAAAATATCAACATTATATAGAAAATCGTTAAAAGTATTGTATCGTCTCCCATTTGATACACCAACCAATCAATTGTTTGAAATAACAAATACGTATTCTTTAGATGAAATATATAGAATTGAAACTCTCAAAATATCATATAATATCATAAATAAAAAATTGAAGTCGAATTTTATGTTGATACGGAATTCTGAAATTCACAATCATGAAACAAGACAATATAACTTGTTTCATCTTGACGCCGCTAGCTCCATTATCGGACAAAAAAGATTCACTCATTCAGCCTTAACTGAATTCAATAAACTACCTGACAATATAAAAAATTGCAGAAACATAGGTTCATTCAAAAATGAAGTGAAAAAATTGATTATTTCTGAGCGAACTGGATAAAATTGAACATGCCATTTTTTTTTTTTTTTTTTTACAAATATTATTCTTTGTTTGTCAATTTACAGTTGTTGATATATTTTGTATAATGATATGTTTACCTATAGGTATATAATTATGTACTTCCTTATACCAGAGCCTATTCTGTCTGGAAGTTATTTGTTCAATAAATAAATAAATAATCAGTCGTATTCTAAATCATGCTTCGATATGGTTCAGTTCCAATGAACTATACTTGAATGACAAGAAAACTAACACACGTGTTTTTTCACATGAGGGTTCATCAGAAAACGCAGATATAAAATTCCTCGGAATTTTTTTTGACTCTACCCTATCGTGGATCCCTCAAATAAATTTCATGTGCGGAAAATTATCAAAACTGTATTTGCAATACGCAGAATAACAAATATAGTTAATAAAGAAGCGGGTCTTGCCACTTATTATGGACTTTTCCAGTCAATTTTAAACTATGGAATTCTGGGATGGGGCAATGCCTCCCATAAACATATTCAAAGGATTTTCATTTTGCAAAAATCTGCAGTTCGAAGCATTGTGAAAGCTAAACCTGATGAACACTGTCGACCTATCTTTCAAGAATTAGGAATAATGTCACTGTTCTCGATGATTGTCTTCGAAAATCTGATGCACATCAAATGCAATATTAACAAATTCTCTTCTCATATGGACGTACACTCCTATGATACAAGAGGTAAAAATAAGCTACTTCATTCTCGCAAGAGGATAAATAAATCAAGAGTTCTAGGCATAGATTTCTTTAATGCAGTACCAGATACCATATCATCCTCACCCATAGGAAAATTTAAATCAAAAATAAAACAAATTTTAATTAACATGTGTTTATATAATAGTGAGGATTTCTACACAAGCATTAGTACATTAGGATAAGGTTGACTCACCTTTAGGTTTGTCTAATTCGCTTTGCTCCTTCTGTTCTAAAGTTAATTTTATATAATAATTGCTGTCAGTTTGTTTTAAAGTTAGTTTTATATAATTGCTGTCAGTGCTCTCTACATATACTTTTACCCGTATTTTCTGTATGTCTTCTTTTATCTACATTTTTTACCCACATGTTTTACTTGACGTTTCCAAAAATGTAAATTTCACGGAAGAATAAATCTAGCTATCTATCTATCTATCTATCTAACTAAAGCTATTTTCTGAATTCAACTGACAGTACTGAATCTGCTGATTTTTCATTGCAAAATAAAAAAAAAATCTGCTGCTGATTACTGATGAAAACCATGAAAACGTGTTCAGAATTGGCGAGTGGACTTATAATGAATTATTGGCAATCAAATACTTCACTAAATGGTGACGTCAGCTTTTATGCTTTTATGCTTCCATTCCCATTCACGAAGCAAGGTTGTCAAGTTATCAGTTATAATCAAGTTATCAAAACGATGTAAGAGTCCTGTCGTTTAGTAAAATATAATAGGAGGGACCCATGATATTATAGTTGATTCTTGACTTTTTCGAGCAACCAGCATGTCCAAATATTTCATATACTCCATAACACAATATCATGTAAATGTTGGAGACTTGGCAACATTGTGCTGAATGTTGAGAAGGGACAAGACCACGCCCACAAGTCGTGCGTGCCGTGTTGTCACGTTCACCGCTTCAAATGTCCTCTAGTGTGAATAATTATAATTACTATTTACACAGATCAATTTTAAGCAATAAGCCACATATCATAAGGGAAAATTTTGGGACAATAAATTTTGTATTGCTAAATAGGAATATTACCAATACATAATTGAGAATTTATGAATGTTTGAATTACTAATATTTCTGAAGTAACAATCGCATTTCAACCAGGGGCGAACTGGACCTTTGAATCGCCGAATTAAACCTTACCGGCCCACCTCCGGAGAAAATTTCAAAGCTACTATAGCTATTCATATAATTTCATCAAATATTTTGGTAACATATAGGAACAAAAGCGAAAAAAAATTATTACAAATAGTTTCCATTATAATAATACTCAAACCAATGATGAAACATCAAATATACTAAAGAAAAACGAAATAAATAACATAATTTACATTCTATGAATGAAAAATAAAAATGAATAATATGAGCGATATTTCTATGATAGATGAAAATATCGCACCTTGGTGAATAATATTAAAGCTACAGAAAGACTAGGACATTTATTTATCCAAAACAAAAAATAAAACATTAGCCGCATTAGAAATTGAAATAAATATCCCAAAAAGGTGAATCTCTTATGAATCCATCACATTTTTCAACGAGTTGAAATTGATATAGAATGTTTTTTTCACACCTTATGATCATGAAAACCTCTACATTTTCTTGGCATAGAGAATTCATTATAGCCTATTCAAAATGAATTTTAATTTTGAGAAACCTATTTCACACGATACCTGCGACACTGAAGGAGTAAGAATATATTGATGAATTTTCTTTAAATTCGGATAGGCCTCGACGTATAAATTGTATTTGTGCGAAACATGGTAGCAACAAAATAAATATTTTTCGCAGAACTTGTGTTGTGATGAAATCAATTCCTCTTCTACATCGAAGGCATAAGTTCCACCATCCATCATATCTTCTGATAAAGTACTCGACAGTCTTTCCCACTTCGAGGCAAAATCTGTCAGTTCCATTTGCACACTGTCAAGGCTTATTTCATCAGCAGGATAATAATTTTTTACCTTTTCATAATCCTTCCTGATTGAGTTTTCAGTTAATATTATTTGATCATCAGTAAATCCTGACTGAATCGTGATTTTCTAGTATTCACATTTAGAAATAATGCTTCTCTTTGCTTCGTACAGAACGTTTGATGTAGCTTTCTTTGCAGTATATATGTATATATTTTATATTCTTTCAACATTTCTACCGGCCCATCGGGCAATCGCCCGACCGCCCGGCCTCCAGTCCGCCTCTGATTTCAACGCATGGCAACTGTGCTATGGTCTGCCCCTACTCACGAAATCGTGTCGGCAGTTTTTACACGCGGTAAATTTCTTTCCCTTTGAAAATTAACGTGGCATTATTGATGATTTTAGCACCTGAAAATCGACCGAAAAATTCTGAAAAAATATGAAATTGAAAGATATTCAAGTGATGATTCTATTAAAGAAATAAAAAAATAAAAAAATAGTTCACTCTCCTATAACAGCACTGTATTTTTTATTTTATGTATCGGATTTTCAGCAGAGTCAGTGGATTTACTGACAGTACTGACCAGTTGAATGCAGCATATATGTCGGGGCCAAACAGTGAAATCCGCCATACTCTGGAATGCCTGGTCATTTCACGTATTGCCGGCAAAGAGCGCAGCTCTAAATTTCGTACACCGTTTGCCTAATAGTTACAGGCATTCCCTGTAATGACGGAAGGAATAAGGTTCATTTAGGCCGAGTCAGCTTAGGTTGTTTAGAAGCAGTAGTCTCTTCTGTTCTCTCAAGTAATCTTCTGAAAAATATACTTTCTAGGAAGAAGGTTCATTTAGACGGGAAAATAGTCTCCCTTCTTATGCATATGCAGAAAGGATATCTTCCTTCCTCAACCCTCCGGCAAACAGAGTAATGGCTGAAAATGGAAGTTACGCTGTTTCGCTGTTTGCCGACAATACGTGAAATGACTTGGCGTTTCAGAGAATGACGGATTTCACTAATTGACGCCGGCATATAGACTAACTAGAAGTCGTCAGAAAGATATGTTCCATGAGTATATTTGGTCTGAATTAGGGTCCCTTGATGGAAATTGACGTTAAAGTCATCTTAACAGGGTACGGACAGATCATAGCTGCATTCTTTTTTAATGATTTAGAGACTTTAGTTTTGTCTACTGGCATCCCTGATATTGCTGTCACGTCACATCCATGGGCGCTACAGAAAATGATTAAAAATTGTAATAATAGGTATGTACAGGGTATTTACTTGTTGAGGAAGATCATATGGCGAACGAGTCTATAAGTTATACTGCGTATACCTACTTCTTTGTCACTTTCATCAATAAATTATTCGAGAATGACTTGTTATTCAAGGGAGGCATACACATTTCCGGTATTACTTTTTATCAGCCTACTTTTCGTCCTAGGCAAAGTTTGATACATAGTGTGATATTAGAAAATCATACAAACGCAAACATAAATTCTTGAATTGGATTTCCGAAAATATATTTAGCACACATATGACATGAGTACAGTAGTTTAGATATCCCCATCGAGGTTTCCATCATTTCTCAATCATAAGGCTCTGCTCATTCAGCTCATAGATATTGAAATCAGAATAATTCATTCAGCATATTCAGTCAACCCTGGTATACAGTCTAAGAACAATCACTTTTGGTGAAATATATCACGCTTTCAGTATTCATATGTATTCATATGTTCCCTACCTCGCAAAGATTATGCTGGAGTAGTAAACTCTGAAACAAGAGGATTGTTCAACTATATCTTGGTATAATTGAATCAGGAATTCCATATGGAAATCACGTATGATACGCCAGTGACCTCAATATAACCTAAAAAACAACGAATGTCAAAAATCTAGTGTTTATCCCCAGAATTGAATAAAGATGGAACTATATAACTGTTTCACAAACACTTTAGAGTGAGAGGAAACGAGGATCTGTCCGTACCCTGTTAAGATGACTTTAACGTCAATTTCCATCAAGGGACCCTAGTCTGAATATCTGTATTGAAAATATCAACCAGAAAGTGTTGTTATTTATTGTTTCATCTAAAAAAATTACAAAACATTGGAAAAACCTACTAGTTGTTGATTTTCGTGCACACAAATTTAACACCTTGTATCTCGAAAACCTTCGTACATAACGTATGGTCCGAAATATTTGGGTAAAAAATTCACCTGGTTTGATTGTTGTTATTTATTGTTTCATCTAAAAAAATTACAAAACATTGGAAAAACCTACTAGTTGTTGATTTTCGTGCACACAAATTTAACACCTTGTATCTCGAAAACCTTCGTACATAACGTATGGTCCGAAAGTTTTGGGTAAAAAATTCACCTGGTTTGATTGAGTGACAAAATGCATTCAATCAAGCAGGCGTGGTAATTAAATGTCACCCGTCTTGTCATCTAAATAATAAATGCAAAAGTTGTTGGTTTGCGCTTACCAAAATGTCTTATAAAATTGATCTTCGTCAAGGTATTTATAATCTCGTTGGGCGAATGACGAAACGAGAGATTGTCGATATTTTTCAAGATCAGAACATAAGTAAATCGACAATATATCGTACAATTAAAGATTGTGAAAAAGGAATAACATGTATGAACTTGCCAAAAAACGGTCGGCCGCAAGTTTTGAACCAATTATGAGAGCGGAGACTTATTCAAGCAGCTAAACACATAATTGGGATCTCACAGCAAAAACTGGCCAGAAGATTTCATGTTGGAAAGATACGGTGTTTAAGACCCTATCAAGACACAATGTTTTGTTCCGGAAAAGGAGAAAAGCTCCAAAATACCCAGAGGCTCAGTTAGAAAGAATTCAAAGATGTTGCTGCGCGTTGAGGCGAGTGCATTTTGCCAACAAGTTTATCGTGATAGACGACGAAAAATATTTCACTTTGGCCAACTCTGAGATGAAGGTCAACGATGGTTTGTACACGGACGATCACGCAAATGTTCCTGACGATGTGAGATTCAAGAGCAAAAAGAAGTTTGAGGACAAAATTTTGGTATGGTGTGCCATTTCTGAGGCTGGTTTCATTTCACAGCCCTACATTAGCGTTGTTCATGGTGAGGCCTTAAATGCAGAGCGATATATTGACAGCTGTCTTTCTAAATTGCTTCAGTTTTTGAATACAAATCATGCGAATGACGAAATTATGTTTTGGCCAGATCTTGCTTCATGCCATTATGCGAGAATCACAAGGGATTGGCATGGGGCCAACAACTTCAACTTAGTATCAAAAGTGGACAATCCCCCCAACCTACCTCAGGCACGCCCAATTGAAGACTTCTGGGCAATATTGAGCCGGAAAATCTACAATAACGGATGGGAAGCACAAAATCAAGAACAACTCCGACGTCGTATATCGGGAAAAATCAGAGAAATCAACGCTGGGGTCGTCCAAAGGATGAACAACGCGTCAGAGGAAAACTCAGGCAGATCGAAGACAACGGTCCCTTGTCGATTATTTGAACTTTAGGTAGTGATAAGAATAGTTAAGAGATATTGTAAGATTATTTGTTAAGATTATAAAAAAAAATTTCTAAGAGTTGTCAGCATCTGATTTTTTTCTTGAAACTTTCGGACCATATGTTGATATACGAGAATTATTTTCCTTAGTAACATGGAATTTTCCCTTGGTTTTCCTTACTTGTATTCAGGTACACCCGGTTTTTTTTTCAGATTTTTCCAATTATGCTCTTTTATTCATGTACATTTATCATTTTGTTACTGTAATTAAGATGTGAAAATCAAAATAAAATGGCCAAGACTTGCATAACACAGGTAATAACGTTTCATGAAAATATTGTTTTTACCATAATAGGGAAAATATGAATGTCTCCTTGTTTTCTAGAATAAAAGAGGATCTTTCCTCTCCAGGAACGATCAGGTATTGCAGAGGCTAGCCGAATACAACAAACAAACAACCAACATCGCTTTGGGAACTGCCACGGCCAAAAATTCGAGGAATTTCTTGTTTCAAACTGTTTCAGTAATGAAGACAACAGAAATCGAAGTAACATTTCCAGGAATTTTCACACTTGTGAGGTTTCATATATGTCGTTTTCCAGGTTAAAAAACGGAAAACCACGGATGATACGCCGAGGGCTATCAAGAAGTTGAGGTTATCTGATAATTTGAGTCCTGCAGTGAAAAAGAAACCTGAGAGACTCGGTGCTAAGGCTAAGCTATTTGGCAATCATTGACTGATGCTAGTTTTGTATAGAGTGTTTTTTATTTATGTTTATTACAATGTTGTACAAATTTGAATTTAATATAGTTTCCATTTTATTATATTCCACTTTCACTTTTCAATGATATCTCAAGGCGTGAAAATATCACCAACCGTTTTCAAAATATACCAGGAAAACCAACATGTTTTTTTCGTTATTCGTACCATGACGAAAGAAAAAAATCAGGAAAGATACATATCTGGATTCGTTATGATAAAAAAATACAGGTCCGTATTTAAAAAAAAATAGAGTTGATGAGAAGGTGACCCGGAAGAACGAGAATTCGTATAAGAAGACTGGTTCTTGAACGAATTTTCATATTGCCGAAAATGAAGGCGAGAAAACCGGTCATTCCGGTTTTGTCCGTGTATTCTAAAAACTGCTCGTGATATTTCCGATTTGGAAACACTAAAATAGTCAACTTTGGTCTAGTTTAACCAACTTCCTATCATATGCTGTTTTCGAAATTCCAATAGTGGTACAACATACATAATACGGGCCGGTAGGAGTTCATTTTTTTTCAACCAGTGCTAGAGAAAAACGTTTTCGCAGGTTGAAAATAGCATACATAATGGTGTGTTGTAGAGCTAGTAGTGTAATAAAGTTATATTGTATTCTTTTCTGAGTGAGTTATCCATACTAATAATATTATAAAGAGGAATGATTTGATTGTTTGTATGTATTGAATAGACTCCGAAACTACTGGATCGATTTGGCTGAAAATTGGTGGGGAGGTAGCTTAGAACCAGGAGAGGGTTATAGGATACTTTTTATCCCGGTGCCATTAGGAAATTCAAGATGGCGGATCTAATATATCAGACGAGTTCTGTAATTATGCTCCGATTCTATTCAAAATTTGTATTTGGGGGTTTTCGTGATCGGAGATTATGATTCCTTCGTCAAAATTAAGAAATTCAAGATGGCGGATCCAAAATGGCGGATTTTGTAATTAGGATCCGATTTCATTCAAATTTGATATCTGGTGGTTCTCGAGGTCGGAGATTATGATTTTTTTCGTTAAAATTAGGAAATTCAAGATGGCGGACGAGTATTGTAATATGATCACACTCTTTTCAAAATTGTTAACTGGGTGTTTTCGGTGTCGGAGATTATATGATTCTTTTGTCAAAATTCGGAATGGGCGGGATTTGGAAATTCAAGACGGTGGAACCAATATACCGGATGAGTTTTGTAATTATATACCGATTCTATTCAAAACTTTCGTCTGGGGTTTTACGAGTCGGATATTATGATTCTTTCGTCAAAATTGGGAAATTCAAGTGAACTAAAAAGAAGTTGAAATAAATGGTAGTTTGAAAAACTAAAGAAACATGCTTTTATAGATAACGAAACTGAAAAGAAGTAAAAAATAAAATAATAATAGTGTCTTGATGAATATTGAACTGAAAAAATATATTATTGAAATAATGTATATAGCAAAAAAACGTTTGCAAGGTCTACTAACTAAAAATTCTATATATTAACTAAACATTTAGGAACACTCTGTTTTGTCACTGTTTTTCTAGATTCAATCATGTTTCAATAATTCTATCAGTATCACAGCAGCTGCCTCGCGATTAGGGCCCTAATATCGAAAAAGTAATATATGTAAATAGGCAATTTCGGCCCTTTCATACATGGCAAATAGGTTAACCCACGGTAGAAACACATTTTGATGAAAACGACTTTATGAGATAAGAGTTTTACTCCGTAACAGCTTCGGGCTAGATTCTAGAGGGTATATTGAATATAAATAAGTTGTTTCGGAACTAAATAAGATGGATATTTCGTCTTCAGCTGAAAAGTTTGATATAATATAGTGTCCCAGATCATAGAGGTTTGTTTAATCTGTGCCCAGATTAACTTTCGTAAATATGCTGAAAATATGACAAAAGAAGCTTCCTTCATAAATTGAAGCATTTTCAGTAATAAACATAACGTTTCATTTCAAATTAGTCTTTGAGATTTTCGAAACTTCTAAATGATAATAAAATTTTGAACTCGCTCGCTCCTACAGTTTTGTATGTTTTTAATTCGTTTTCGGTTGTGACATTAAATATAAATTTGAATTTTCATTTTCAATCACGAACTGAATGATGGGTATAATTTGCGGATTGGAATAAAATGCAGCGGACTGGCTGTTTCTAGCAAACAAATCGTTGTTTTTATTGCACATCTGCATTCAGCTCATCGAACTACACGATAAAAAGTTTCTGATTTTTTTCACTGACCCCCCTGGGGAGCACTTTACTCGTGTGTTTTTTCATAAAATCTTGCGGACTGGGTATTTTTAAAAGTCAAATCTACTCAATTTTACCAAAAATCATTTCATCTCATGAAAATACACGATGAGAAGTTTTTGAAATTTTTCCCTAGCCCCCCTGGGGAGCACTTGATTAGTGTGATTCTTCATAACATCTTGCGGACTGGGTATTTTTGCGAGGCAAATCATCTCAATATTCTCAAAAATCCATTTATCCCATGAGCATACACGATGAATAGTTTTTAAAATTTTCCTCTATGCCTCCCGGGGAGCACTTTACTCGTGTGTTTTTTCATAAAATCTTGTGGACTGGGTATTTTCGCAAGTCATATCAACTCAACTTTATCAAAAATCGATTTATCCCATGAAAATACACGATACTGATACTAATTTATTTCATTCATTTATCTACCCCCAGGGGGGCTAGGAAAAATTTCAAAAACTTCTAATCGTGTATTTTCATGGGATAAATCGATTTTTTTGGAAAATTGAGATGCTTTGACTGTTAAAAATACCCAGTCCCCAAGATTTTATAAAAAAACGTTCGAGTGAAGTGCTTTCCAGGGGGGCTAGGGAAACATTTCGAAAACCTTTCGTCATGTATTTTTATGAGATAAATCGATTTTTGGAATAATCGAGTTGATTTCACTGCAAAAATACCCAGTCGGCAAGATTTTATGAAAAAACACACGAGTCAAGTGCTCCCCAGGAGGGCTAGAGAAACATTTCAAAAACTTCTAATCGTGTATTTTCATGAGATAAATCGATTTTTGATGAAATTAAGTTGATTTGACTTGCGAAAATACTTAGTCCGAAAGATTTTATGAAAAAACACACTTGTAAAGTGCTTCCCAGAGGGGCTGGGGAAAAATTTCGAAAACTCTTTATCGTATAGTTCGGTGAGCTGAATTCAGATATGCAAAAAAACAACGATTTGTTTGCTGGAAATAGCCAGTCCGCAGCATTTTTCCCAGTCCGCAAATTATACACACCCCTGAATGTTTTAGATATATATGATTTTTATTGTTTTTTCCTGAATGAATTCGATATTTTTTATTTGTCGATGTGAACTAATAATTATTCCTTCAATTAGTGTGTTGATATTTTTCATAGCAGTCGTTAGTTTGTTTTTTATAAAAGCCTAAATGATATTTTCTTGAGGGGGGGGGGCTCAAGATATGGAGTTCCACCACTGCTACTTCAGTACACCAGTACAGAGTACAGCTCCTATGCAATTGTTCCATCCAAAATGAATTTACAAACCCACTCCAATGTTTGCCCATCTTTCATGTGGTAAGTGCCACAAATCAAACAAGAGCAGAGGCCGGCGAGCAATTAAACAAAATCCGAATCTCGACGACCTGATTTTAGATTTTAATTAACTCACAAACAGAAGACAAGATAAAACTCGAAGCCAATTCGTACAGAACTCTTTGTTCGCATCTAACCGAGGCAGATGCATAAAACAAACACGATATAGACATGTGTGCTATTAAATCTAGGAGGCCACCGAGCAAACAAAAGACAATCTCCGGTCGCCGGCAGGCGATTTGATTGTCTTTCTACCACATATCGCGCGGTTTGCTAGAGGGACGTTCGACTTTGACGGCGGAAAGGCGATTTTCCGATGGATTTCGGAGTGGAAAACAGGGAAAACGTCTCCGCCCGAGACCGCTTCGTTAGCCGTTGTCTTTTTCCAGGTGTGTGGTTTCTTTTGATGTCGACGGGCGGTCAGTTTTGTGTAAATTGTGTAAATGGGGGTCGAGGGAGATTCCATACTCCCTGGGAAGACCCTCTCGTGGTGGTCATCGTACAGAGAGCAGAAATGCCCACGGGGTATTTTGATTACTATGTATGCGTTACAATATTGACATGTCAGAGCAATCAAACCACAAAATCCACAATCATCTTATAATTTGAGTTTTATCCAAACTTTTAACCGTATAAATTTCCACTTTAGCCCGTTGTGGCATTGAGATTACATTATTCCACTAGTTGAATAATGAAAAATAAGTACAATCCTGAATCAATCACCTTTTAATTAATTCATAATTCATATTAACATTAAACATTCATATTAATAGGCACTTTCCGATCACATATTTATAATGTACCGGGTGATTCACCATAAATGTCCCCCCCTCTAGCTCATTTATTTTTGAATAGATTTAAAAATTTGGAAAATGATCTAAAATGATTTTTCAGATTTTTTTTTGCATCAGAAAATTAAGGGTGCTCGGAACAAATGATCTACAGAGTACTATACTTGATTTTTTTCGAATGGAACACCCTGTATTTCATTGTATTTTTAGGTTCTTCCTGAAGAGCTGATTTCATCAATGCATCACACTTGGGGTCTAACGAGAATGATTACAGAGATATAGGGAGTTCAAAATCGAGATTTTTCAACTTTAGGATTTTTTGTCTCAAAACTATTCATTATTAAAACGGCTTCTATGTTTCCATCTTAACTTTTGATTAACTGTCTACTGACATTTAATTGGAACATTTACAGGGTGGTTCAAGATTCAGAATTCTGATCACCCTGTATCTGTTCCAATTATTAAATGTCAGTAGATATAGTGAATCAAAAGATAAGATATGCCGTTTTGACCGATGATGAATAGTTTCGTCTCAAAAAAATCCTAAAGTTGAAAAATCTCGATTTTGAACACCCTATATCTCTGTTATCATTCCTGCTAGACCCCAAGTGTGATACATTGACCAAATCAGCTCTTCAGGGAGAATCTAAAAATACAATGAAAAATAGGGTGTTCCCTGTAGATCGTTTGTTCCG